AGTTCACTCAGCATAATGTTCTCCAGTCCCTCCCAAGTTAGGTAATAATTTACAAAATCATTGCTCCTGTGTGCTGCATAGTATTCCATTGTGTGAATGTACCATAATTTCTCTTGCCTATATTTTTGGTTCTGCTGAGGTGGAAGCCAGTGCGTTGACAAGGTTATTTTCTGAGTTTATTCAGACTCATAGGGTGATTCTATAGAACAGAACTGCCCCACAGGATTTCCAAGGCTGTACATCTTTACAGAAGCAGATGCCACGTCTTTCTCCTGCTGAGCGGTTAGAACCACGGATCTTTTAGTTAGTAGGACAATGTTTAATCTACTGTACAACCAAGTTTTTTTCTTTAAATCAGACAACACATTTTTTTCTTCTTCCAGACGAGCAAAGGAGGTTGTACTGAAGTTTGAAGGACGGCTGACCAGAACTCGAGGTTACCAAGCAGCAGGTGCAGAGGTGAGGTGCCCCCACCCTTGCCTGTGGCCACCTCAGTAGGAAACTGTACTTGTTCACACTGTCAGCCTCGGAATCATTCACAGCTATAGAGAAGCTGCCATGTCTGAACTTCTCTAAGCTTGGATTGTGTTCCCAGATGCTCTTGCTTGAGCCACTGAATCACTCTGGCAAGATACAATTTAGCAGAAATGGAATTTCTACTCTTAGGAGAAAAATCCAGCATTTTTTTTCCTAACTTCACCCTGTTGTCATTATTGTTGTTATGTGACTCATAACGACCCTATGTACTACAGCCCTAATCCCTGCTTTATCCAGTGCCAATCTTATTGTCTCTGACACACCTACTGTCATTGCCCTAGTCACTAAATCAATCCATCTCATCCAGGGTCTTTCTCTCCTGCGCTCTCCCTCCACCCTCCCCAGCCTGACATCCCATCCTAAGGACTAGTTCCTCCCTGCAGTATGTCCAAAGTATGTCAGATGAAGCTTCAGAATCCTTGCCTCCAAGGAGCAACCTGGTTTCTGTCTCTCCAGGATGAACCTGTTCATTTTTTTAGCAGTCCATGGTATATTCAATACTTTTCTCCAAAATCATAGCTCAAAGGCATCTATTCTCCTTCTATCATCCCTAGTCATTGTCCAACTCTCTGAGGCATAGCAAGTAATTTAAAAGACCATGGTCTGTATCAAGCACACCTTAGTTTCTAGACTGGCATTGTTGCTGTTCAGTACTTAGGAGAGCTCTTTGACAGCAGACTTTCTCAGTGCAATACGTCTTTTAATTTCCTGGTTGCTGGTGCCAGGAATGTTGATTGTAGAGCCAAGAAAACTAAAGCTGTTTACAATCTTAATCTCTTCACCATCGATCATGATGCAGCCAGTAGGCCCAGTAGTGAGAATATTTGTTTTCTTGATATTGAGTTTCAATCCATATTGAAGGCTGCAGTGCTTGAGCTTCCGTGGTTTAGGTCCTCCTCAGTCTCAGCAAGTAGGGTTGTGTCATCTGCATAGCACCGATTGTCTTCCTCCAAACCTGATGCCACACTTCTCCTCATAGAGCCCAGCCTCCCAGATAATATGTTCTGTATATAGATTGAAAAGGTATGGTGATAGGACACATCCCTCACATACACCTTTCCCAATTTTGAATAATACAGTGTTTCCTTGCTCTGTTCTGATGACTGCCTCCTGGTCCAAGTATAGGTTTTGCATAAGCACAATCAAGTGTTCTGGGATTCCATTCTTCTCAGAGTCAGCCTGTGATTATAAGGGTTGTATCACATAAAATGAGAAAATTAGAGGCATTAGTGCTCATTCTATAACATATCTTGTTCCTTGATATTTTTCCTATGCAGTTACTTAAAATAAAATTTTAGTATGTTGTTGTTGTTGTTATGTGCCGTCAAGTCATTTGTGATTCATAGCGACCCTATGTACAATAGCACTAAACTCTGCTCTGTCCTGTGCCAATTGCACTGTCTCCGACACACCCATCCTGATTACCCCAGTCACCGAATCAATCCACCTCATAGAGGGCCTTCCTCTCCTGCGCTGTCCCTCCACCCTCCCAAGCATGATGTCCCTCTCCAAGGACCAGCCCCTCCTTACAATATGTCCAAAGTATGTTAGACGGAGCCTCAGAATCCTTGCTTCCAAGGAGCCACCCGGTTTAACCCTTTCCAGGATGAATCTGTTTGTTTCCCTAGCAGTCCATGGTACCCTCAGTACTCTTCTCCAGCACCACAGCTCAAAGGCATCAATTCTCCTTCTATCCTCCTTAGTCACGGTCCAACTCTCTGATGCATAACATGTGATTGTAAAGACCATGCCTGTATCGGATACACCTTAGTCTCCAGAGAGACACCATTGCTCTTCAGTACTTTGGAGAGGTCCCTAACAGCAGACTTTCCCATGGCAATGCGCCTTTTAATTTCCTGGCTACTGGTGCCAAGAGTGTTGACTGTGGAGCCAAGCAAACTAAAGCTGTGTACAATCTCAATCTCTTCACCATCCATCCTGATGCTGCCAATTGGCCCAGTGGTGAAAATCTTCTTCTTGACATTGAGCCTCAATCCATATTGGAGGCTGCAATCCTTGACCCTCTGAAACAAGTGCTTCAGGTCCTCCTCAGTTTCAGCAAGCAGGGTTGTGTCATCTGCATAATGCAGATTGTTGATGAATCTTCCACCAATCCTGACACCACACTTCTCCTCATAGAGGCCAGCCTCCCAGATAATCTGTTCTGCATATAGGTTGAAAAGGTATGGAGGCAGGACACATCCCTGGCGTAAGCCCTTCCCAATTCTGCACCATGCAGTGTTTCCTTGCTCCATTCTGACGACTGCCTCTTGGTCCAAGTATATAGGTTTTGCATTAGCATGATTAAGTGTTCTGGGATTCCCATTTTCTCAGAGTCAGCCACAGTTTGTTATGATCTACACAGTCAAATGCCTTTGCATAATCAATGACACACAGATATACATTCCTCTGGTATTCCCTACTTTCAGCTAAGATCCATCTAACATTAGCTACAATATCCATAGCACCACGACCCCTTCTAAACAAAGCCTGGACTTTTTGGCATTTTTCTGCTGATGTGCTGTTCTAGTCATTTTTGGATTATCTTCAGTAGAATCTTGCTTGCATGTGAAATCAACGATATTGTTCTATAGTTTCCACACTCTGTTGGGTCACTCTTCTTAGGAATGGGAACAAATATAGATCTCTTCCAGTCAGCTGGCCAAGTGGCTGTTCTCCAGATTTCTTGGCACAACTTGGTGAGCACATCCAGGGAAGCATCTGTTAGCTGAAATATGTCAATTGGTATACCATCTATTCCTGGGGACTTATTTTTTGCCATTTCCTTCAAAGCAGCCTGAACTTCTTCCTTCATCACCACAGGCTCTTGCTCATATGTTGTTTCATGAAATTCTTCTGTGTCTGCCAATTCCTTTTGATACAGTGACTTAGTATATTCTTTACATCTTTTAGTATACATTAAAAATATCTTTTTTATAAAGACTTTAGGATAATTTTCAAAATTTCTTTTAAAAATTATAAAAAATATATGAACCCTACTCTCCCAACATGGTATTATTTTTTAAAAAATTCTCAAATGTCAAACTTCACATAAAGATATAATTTTACATTGTGGAAGTGTGCAAGCATTGGTGTCTTGCTCTTTTTTTTTTAAATTAACAAACATTTGGTTATGTTGCTATATGATAGCCTATGATATAATGAATATTAACTCAGTAAGTCTTTTACCTGTTAGTGTTTAATTTGCTTTCAATATTTCGTTATTATTGCTAGCATCACAAAAGTTTGCTGACATTCAGACTTTTAAAAATCTTTGCTTGGGATAATGTTGTAACTGTGATCACTTTAACTAGAACATGACCTGTTCTTTTTGGACTCTTGATAAATGCTAATACATCCCTTTCCAAGTCTTTATGATTTTATTTTCATCCATAATGAAAGAGTTACAACCCCTTTAATATCTTCACCAGTGGTGGATACTACATTGTAGAAAAATTTGTTATTGCAACAGATAAAATTAAATGGAGGCATTCATTCCTTTAGATTCTCTGAAACCAAAATTATCTTAACGAAGTTCTTAGTAAGATCTGGTCCTAAATTTTAAATGGTTGTCAAATTTTAAAATGAATTCCCAGATCCCACAGGGTTCTGCTTTGACATTCTTTTCACCTTCAGAGACTCTTCCTGAAAAGTCTGACCCGGTTTTTGACAAAAATCCCCAGGCTTCCTTATACCTATCATACCATGATGGAGTTTATGGAATAAATATATAAAACAAAATTGCCTTGTTTTAGTCTCTCTACTTGTTTTCTCCAAATAAATTATTAGATGCTATCAGAAAATGTATGAATGAGTATAAAATTCTTCTCAGGGTTCAGACAGCCTGTAATAAGCTATATATGACAATCAAAATATATTGAGAATAAAAAATAAAACCCAGTCTTAAACTTTCTCGGGAAAATGGCCTGGCAATCTACTTGCAGAAAAATGAACTACTGAAACCCTCGAGTGCACAGATTTTCTCTGATAACATGAGTCATGACAGGTCAGAGTTGAATCAACCACAGCTGGTGTTTTCCTAACAGAAATGTCAGGAAGGGGACACAAAAAAATAAAGCCCATGGATCAGAGAGTCACAGCAGATGGTCACTTACCATGTGAGAAGCACAGCAAAGACCACGGGGCTGCGTTGGTTCTTAGACTCTTTAAGGTCCTATGGAGCCATAACTAGGGGCCTACGGCTAGGAGCCCCACACCCAGCAGTCATTTCTGCATCATCAATGTGAAGCTCTCTAACCCCATCTTCTCGTTCCTAGCTCTGGAGGAAGCTTGCTCGTCTCGCCTGTAACTTCGTGGTCATCTTCATCCCCTGGGAAATGAGGATAAAGAAAATCGAGAGTGAGTGTTTGTACTGGAGGAATGAAAGAAAACAAGTAGTTAATCAGCACTGACATAGGAAGAGACTGAGATCGTGTATGAGTACAGGAGTATGAAATATTAAAGAAACACATAGAAGGAAACATTCCTGGACTGTTAGCAGGCAGGAGAGGGGATCAAGAGGGGAGCAAAAATCAGGAAATAGATAATAAATCCAAAGCTCATCATCAAGGTTGAACTGTTTTAGAGCTGACCTTCTGGTGGGTTTTCAAAGGCTATGAAAAGGCATGTATTAAGATGGGTGAATGGAAAGGCGTTATTTAATAAAAGATGATCAGCAGAATATCACTAAAGAAATAGAAGGTGCAGTAGAAGCACAAGAATTACTGCAAACACTCTTGTATACACAGTCCTGCTGTATTAGCTTAATGAACATTTATCAGTAAACACATATAGGCAGTCAAGATAAACATAGGGATCCAGGAAAGGGACTGTACTCGTGACCACGCCCACGTGTGAGGGATGATATTTCTACATCTCTGTAAGTACATGCTATAAATCTATTCTTATGCACCATAGAGCCTACAGGGGACAACATTGCACAAATAGCTTATTGGTAACAAGATGAAGAGACTGTAGCATTTCCTCTCTGTACACCTTGGTAGTTGAAGGAAAACACTTGTATGTTATCTGCTAGGCTCTGCATGACACAAATGACATAAAAAAACACAGTGTCTGGCCCCACCACCCCTCATGACAGAGCCAGCCTCAGTGTGGGTCTTTCCATATTTCACTGTGACCCATCTGTCCTCTCCTTTCCTCATTCATTCATTCATTCTGCATAACTCATTACAAACCCTCAAGAATTAAGGATCAAGTGAAAAAACAATAGAGATAAGAGGTGGGAAACTAAAAGCAAAACACAAAACACAAAACTGATGCTTATACCAAATAGGGCAAGTGTGCCAGTGTCTGTTAGGGACAGCCCCGTCCCCACGTGGAGTCGGCCAAGCAGCAGCAATAAGCATTAGGCGAGTGGGTGAAAGGGCTGTTTAGGCGAGTGGGTGAAAGGGCTGTTTGGCCTCAGAGGTCCTCAGTCCACTTTTGTGGCTTTCCAGGTTTTTGACGAGGCTGCAAAAGTTCCATCCATAAAAGAAAGTCAAGAATGTAAATAAACAGAAACATAGGCCTCCAAGCGTGGAGTTAAAGGGAGCTGATGAATGTGAAACCACCCACAGGATGCGTTCATCTGGTTTTTGTGCTTTTGTCATTTGAAGGAACTTTTTGTTACTTTCACTCTGTGAACAACTTATTTAACGGTCTGTATAAGTGAACCCAAACTGTTAAATATGTATTTAGTTTGTTCTACTTAGTCAATAAAAAGGCCTATATTCCAAAAAAAAAAACAAACCAAAAACACAAAACTGTGCATTTTAAAATATACAAGTGTAGACATTTAGAAAATAGGTCTCATAAATGAAGTAAATCACGTTCAGTCATGTTTATACACACACACACATACCCACTCATTGCTGTCAAGTTGGAACCAACTCCTAGCTGACTTTCCAGTGGGTTTTCAGGGGCTATAAACTTCACAGGAGGGGATTGCACATCCAATCTTCCAACATCAGAGCAGTTGGTAGATTCCAAACATCTGCCTTTGGGTTGTCAGTGTAACTCCCTATCCATAGTAATAAATTATCAATTAATGTGAAGTAAAAAAACAACAACAACAACAACAACAACAACAACAACAACAACAATGCAGCACTGGGTCACAGAATATAGAGCTTCGCACCTTTCTATTTATTATGACAAGCTAAAATTGGGATAGAAATCTAATGTTGTTGTTATTTGGTGCCGCTGAGGGAGAACCGACTCCTAGCTGATCTCCAGGGGGTTTTCAGAGGCTGTGAATCACCCAGGTGGAGACTGCCCATCTTTCTTTCTTTCTTGTAGCAGCTGGGGGACTCCTGCTCACCTTTGGCTTGTCAGCACAACTGGGCCATCAGAGCTCCCTTAAAATGTAGTAGATGTTGGTTTTAAAAGATTCCAAAGAAAACAAACTTCTTGCCTGCTCCCTTATTTTCTCTTTAATACATAAACATTTGTATATTTTATCTTAAAATAAAACAGTGCACTCTAGTTTTAAATAATTTTAGAATTCTACAAAAGTAGCGAAGAATGTTCCCATATATCGTATTCTTCTTTTTCTACAACTTCAATATCTAGTGATTGTTTTATATCTTGAAAAAAAAGTAAAAGGTCCTTTTGAATTCTCAAAACTATGGGGATGAGAAAAGAAACCAGATTCTTCCAAAGATGACAGCACTTCTTAAGTTCCATTAAATTTAAATTTTACAAAGCATTTTACGATAAGTAGATAATTAAGGAAATTATTATCAAATGGTGGTTTAGCAATTGAGGAACCCTGGTGTTGAAATCAGGTAAGCACACCTGCTAACTGAAAGGTTGGTAGTTCAACCCGCACAGCTTCTCCAAGGGAGAGACAGACCAGGGGACCTGTTTCCATAAAATTATAGCTAAGAAAAGCCTGCAAAGCAGTTTGACTCTGCAACATGCTATCAGTATTAATCAAAATCAACTTGCCGACATCTGGTAACAACAAGATTAGAAAACTAGGAATTTTGTTCCTTCTGCAACTGTTCCTATAACTGATAGGTAGTAATAAATATCTTTATCTAAGTTATCATGTCCTATGGCCACCCTGACTGGTATGGTACATTAAGGACATTCTTAACCTATACCTTATTTTGGTTTTTTAAAATTGTGATTTTAATGAAAGTTTACAGAAAGGTTGGCTTTTCATTCATTGTTGCATACTTTCTTCCCCCGAACTCCCTTTCTCCTCCCCAGTCCACTTTGCAATGTACTTCTTATTCCAGACTGTTATCATGCATATAATGTTTAATCATATATTCCTTTTAGACAGTTCTTACCCTCACCTGTTCCAATGTAGTGTTCATTATCTGCTGAGTAAAATATATCATTAATTATATGCTGAGTAAAATATATAATTCATTATATGCTGAGTGAAATATTTCAGTCACAAAAGGATAAATACTGCAAAACACTGCTACTGACATGGGGCATTGGGGTGAGAGTCGGAAAAGAGTAGATACCTTATGAATAAGAGACAAAGGTCCGTGTTGCATTAAGAACTTGTGATAATTTTGCAGGAATGATTCTCATTATCTTGTCTTCCTTCAGGTCATTTTGGGTCTGGTGTGGCCTCTTACTTCATATTCTTGAGGTGGTTGTTTGGAATTAACATTGTACTCACCATAATGACAGGTGCTTTTATTGTCATTCCAGAGGTAAGTTTTGTTTCAGGATGAGGGTTGGGTGAAGGTATAGAGGGGAAATGTCCTGCTTATTTAAAAAAAACTCTACTTCCCCAAACCCTTTGCTATGATTCTGACTCCATGGCAATGAGGAAGGAGCTCATTCAAAAGAGGGGGTTTTGAGAGGAATAGTATACAACAACCACTCTTGCTATCCTTGTGGGGAGAACAATGAATATTGTGGAAGAATTCAAATTCAAACCCACTCCCAGTGAGTCAAATCCAATGCAAAGAGCAGAGTTTTGCATGTTGTTGTTGTTATGTGCCGTTGAGTTGCTTGTGACTCATATTGACCCTATGTACAACGGCTCTAAATTCTGCTCTGTCCTGTGCCAATCTCACTGTCTCGGACACACTCATCCCGATTGCTCCAGTCATCGAATCAATCCACCTCTCAGAGGGCCTTCCCCTCTTATGCCTGCCCTCCACCCTCCCAAGCATGATGTCTTTCTCCAAGGACCGGTCTCTCCTTATAACATGACCAAAGTAAGTCAGACGAAGTCTCAGAATCCTTGCCTCCAAGGAGCCACCCGGTTTAACCCTCTCCAGGATGAATCTGTTTGTTTTCTTAGCAGTCCATGGTACATTCAAGACTCTTCTCCAACACCACAGCTTAAAAGCATCAATTCTCCTTCTGTCCTCCCTGGTCATTGTCCAGCTCTCTGATGCATAACAAGTGATTGCAAAGAGTTTTGCATAGGGCTTGCAAAACTATGGTATCTCTATAGCAGCAGACTGTTCCAACTTTCTCCCATAGGGCAGGTGATAGGCTCAAACTGCTGACTTTTTGATTGGCCACTGGATACATTAGTCATATCACCAGAGCTCCAGTAACTTTTAAACAGGGTTGGCAAACCTTCTTCTGTAGAGAAAAAGAAAGCAAAACAACCAGTGTACATTGAGTTAAACCTGACTCAGAGCCACCTTACAGGGAGATTTTTCCAAGGCTGTATAATCTGTGTCAACACAGACTGCCTCATCTTTCCCTCACAGAACAGCTGTTGGGTTTAACCGTGACCTGGTTAGCTGTCTAGTGCTGTCACAGCTACACCACTCAAGCTCTTTTGCTGTGAAACAGATAATATGTATATTTTGGTCTGTGTCAGCCTAGTATCTGTCTTAACAACTCAACTGTACCATCCCACGTGACAGCGTAGATCAGCCCTCAGAGGATTTCCTAGGCTGTATCTTTACTAGCGCAGATCACCAGGTGTTTTATCCAGAGTAGCTGCTGGATGGGTTTGAAAAAGTAGCTGTGTTGTTTTTGTTAGGTGTTATCAAGTTGAGTATTGACTCATAGCGATCCAGTGACCAATAGATCTGCACTCTGTCCTAGCCTATCCTCATCATCCTTAACACGTTTGAGTTCATTGACAAAGCTATTTTATCAACCCATCGAATCGAGGGCCTTCCTCTCCTCCACTGACCTTTCCAAGCATAATATCCCTTTCCAAGGAACAGCCTCTCCTAACAACGTGTCCAAACCATTATGTAAATGCATGAGTATGACTCTGTTCACCATATTTATGCACATATTGTTGTTGTTATGTCCCATCAAATTGAACCAACTCACAGTTGACCCTCCACTGAATTTTCATAGGCAGGAAATCAAACAAGAGGAGATTGCCCCTCTTCCTCCTGCAGAAGTGCCAGTGGAATTGAACTGCCTTCGGGTTGACAGCACAACTCTGTCACTCGCTGTGAGAGTTCCATTTTACAGACTTAGGAATTAGAATTTTATACAATCCTTGTACAGTTTTTACATAGATATGTTCATGTGCTTTATCCTTCTTTTGATTTTCTTTTATCCCTCAACCATTTAAAAATGTCAAAACTGTTCTTAGCTCTCAGGTCACATAAAAAAGAAGTAATGGGCGGTACTTGGTGTTTGAGATCTAGTTTATCAAACTTATGTCAAAATAAAAGCATTTCACCACTAAGCTTCATCTTTACAAAATTAATAAGGTCATTCTCATGTCACATAACCCATCTATTCCCTATGCCATACAACCCAACCATTCCCCATGCCATACAGCCCATCTAATTCTCCATGCCAAGTAACCCACCCATTCCCCATGCCATATAACCCACCCATTCCCCATGCTATACAACCCGTCCAAACCAGCCAGGCCAGCAGACTTGGAGCAGGAGGCCCATGTGGATAAACTCCTTCCATTTGTCACCATCTGGCCCTGGATCCTAAGGATTCAAGCCTGCCTCTCGGCTCTGTTGTACCCCACTCTCTAGAACAAGCTAACAATGAGAGGAGGATGGAAATCCACCAGTCTCCAAACCAGTGCCCCCATTTCACTCTCACTGGGCATGTTAGTGAATAAGAAAGCTAAATAATAAACATAACCTCATACAGAGCTCCCATAGTATCTTCCCCAAACAAAGTCTAACCCCCACTAGGACTAATTTCCCACCAAGGAGAATCAAGCAGAAATCCACCCCTGGTGACCTCTCATGTGGGGTTCCTTCTCGGGCACATAAAGATCAACTGTCCTTTTCCTGCTGGTTCTCTTCCACTCAGAGGACCACCCGGCATCCTTTTCTCTCTCACAGTTGATTGCCGGCCAGCCTTTTGGAAGCACTGCCAGCAAGACTATCCCCAAGGAGCATGTGGCATCAGCCCAAGACCTGGACACCGTCTGGTCCCTGGGGGTGAGCTTGATGACACTCGGTCCCCCTGTGGGAGGGAGCAGTGAATGGGCCACAGGAATGACTCCAGGTGCTCTCTCCGCAGGGCTACCTCCAGTACTCAGTGCTCTTCTACGGCTATTACGGCAGGGAGAGGCGGATCGGGAGGGCTGGCTACCGGCTGCCCTTGGCCTACTTCCTGGTCGGGATGGCAGTGTTTGCTTACAGCTTTATCATTCTTCTAAAAAAGTACGACCACTCACCTCCTCAAATATGTGCCAGGATACAATATATGACCTCATTTCATCTTGTCAATAAGCCTCTAGAGTTAAGGCATAGATGTACCCATTTTATGGATGAGGAAATGAAGGCTAAAAGAGGTATAGTCATTTGGGATGGATTTTTTTAAAACGGAAATTTATAGACCATATTGATTTTTTTACACAATTATTCATAGACTTTTTGTTTTATAACATTAATTACCATTGATTACTATAGCTAATTTATTACAATGTCTATTCAGCCCCTGAGGTATATTAATTTTGACCAGCACTGGTTTGAACACTTAGTGTTTTGAGCCAGATCTTGTGCTGAATTTGGACAAAGAAGAATCATACAAACTCACCAATTAATTAGATTCCAGATAATATAGTAGCTGCACTAACAACAACAACAACAAAACCCCAAAACCCACTGCTATCTATTTGATTCCAACTCAAACTGACCCTTCATTGGGTTTCTGAAGCTGTAAATTTGTTATGGGAGGAGACTTCTCATCTCTCTCCCAGAGCAGCAAGGGGGTTCAAACCATTGACCAGCATATGACACACTATGCCACCAGGGCTTTTTGGAAATTGTATTCATAGTCACATCAGTAATACAATCTAGGTGACCAGAGGGTTTGGAAAACATTGCCAATGTCTTTTGGCTATATGCTCGCCTGTAATCTGACTTCTGGGTTAGTCTGCAGAGACTTCTCCAAATTATTGAGGAGTAATGATGTCAGTTTGAGGACTAAGGTGTGCCTGATTCAGACCATGGTCTTTTTCAATCATCTGTTGTGCATCTGAGAATAATGAATAATGAGCGCAATAAATAAGGAAGGACAGCAGAAGAAAACTTGATTCCTTTGAGCTGTGATGTTGGAGAATATTGAATAGCCCATGGACTGCCAAGAGAACAGATATTCTTTGGAGAGGATGAAGCCAGATTGCTCCTTGGAAGCAAGGATGGTGAAGCTTTGTCTCACATGTTGCTAGAACAGACTATTCCTTGGAGAAGGACATCATGCTTGGAAAAGTGGAGGGTTGGCACAGGAGGGAAGACCCTCAACCAGATGGATTGACACAGTGACTGTAGCAATGGGCTCTAGTATTATCAGAAGTGTGAGGATGACCCAAGACAGGACAGGGTTCACATCTGTTGGTTATAGGGTCTCTATGAATCGTACTCGACTCCATGGGACCTAATAATAATAACAACAATAATCTGACTTCAGTTCCAAAAAGTCAGATCTGTCTTATCTTGTGCTGCGTATCACTTAACAGTTTCACCACAGAGAGGAAGCTCAAGACAGCGAACAACCATGTTTGCTATGTGGTAGGAAGCCTGTAGCATCTTTGCCATGAGGCCTCCGCTAACTCTGCCTGTCTGGGCCTTACCTGCAAACTAGTTAGGTTCACTTAGAAAAGCCCTCATGTCTTCCTAGCTTAGTGCTTCCTGCCTCCAGGTAGCCAGTTGCTGCCAGGTCAATTCCAAGTCATGATGACTTGAGGAGCACGAGTAGAACTGTGTCCTGAAGGGTTTCCAGTGCTTGGATTTTTCTGAAGTGGGTCACAAAGTCTTTCTTCTGTCACCTCCATATGGACATCAAACAACAACCTTTCCGATAACAGCCAATTGCATCAATTATTTGTATAGCCCAGAATTTATGACACTTCTAAGTAGGATGGTCAGTGAAAGATGAAAAATCCCCCAATGAGATGGACTGACAGTTACTGTAGCAATGGGCTCAAGTGTGTCAGAGATAATGAGGATGGCACAGGATAAGACAGGGTTCAGATCTGTTGTTCATAGGGTCACAGTAGTGGTAAGAAACTGTACTGCAATCCCAAAGGCACGTGGTTCAAATCCACCAGTTTCTGTATGGGAAAAAGATGGGCAATATTGTGTGCGATTAACTGCCTCTGAAAAGTGGCTGGAGAGTCAGCTATCAGTCAGTTCTGACTCAACAGTATATAATGACATGAATAGAAGTAGACTCAGTGGCACCTAACAACAACAACGAGGAGGAAATGCAAAGGACCTCTTTAAATCTGCTGCAAAGGACCTCTTTAATGTACTAATGAGGAGGGATTCACTTCAAGGACACACTTCGTGTCTGATTCATGTCATAGTTTCACTTATTTCATATACATGTGAAAGTTGAACAATGAATATGAAGATCAGAGATTGACTTGTGAGTCTGGTAAAGACTATTGAATATTTTATTAATTGCCAAAAGAACAAGTAAATCTGTCTTGGAAGAAGTGAAATAAGAAAGCTCCTTAAAAACAAAGATGGTGAGACTTCATCTTACATACTTTGAGCATGTGATTGGGAAGGGCCAAAACCTGAAGTAAATAAGACATTCTTCTTGGAAAAAGAGAGTTCTCCAAAAAGAGGAAGAATTCAATGTGAAGACTGACACTGTGACTGAAACACAAGCTTAAGCAGCAAATGTGATGACGGCCCAGGACAGGACTGGACAGGATTTTTTTTTTCTGTTCTTTGTAGGGTCACTATGAATAAAAGTCAATCAGATCTCACTTAACAACACCAGCAATAGAGGCTAGATGAGCGCAGCCTGTCAGAGAAGTGATGGATCCTCAGGAACACCCAGGCCCCACCCTTGGACTCACCAGGCACTTCTAACTTTTGCTTCTCATTTCCATTCATCACACTGTCCCTTGAGACACTTCAGCAAAGCACAGACAGAAGAGCTTGGGATTTAAACATTAAAACACGTTGTGGAGATGCACAGTGACTTGCGGGCCCTCATTTCATGCCAAGATTCTCACATGAGCTTCTGAATGCCTGGAGATGCCACCTGGAACCACATGGCAAGGGAAGGCAAATAGAGCAACAAGTAAGGATGGAGAGGAGGTGATTCAACAAGGAAACGGTCCAAGGAACAGGGAGATGAAGAGATGAAGAAACTCCTGCTTTAAGATATCTAAAAGGGTGTCACCTCAGAGAGAGATTCAGTCAGCTCTGTGTGGTCTCAAAGGGCACAGTTACCACTGGTGTCCAAGAGCTCCAGGCAGACCGGTTCAGCTTCATGGACAGAATTGTTTTTAAATTCCAGCTTTGCAATAATGGACTGGGCTGACCTCTAGACGTGCACACCCTCACACATATCCCTCTCCAGTGATTTATTTATTGGTCATCCCTGAGATAAAACTGCTTATCCAATGGACTCACACAATCCTGAGTGGCTGCAGCTTTCACGCTGTTCAAAAGCATTGGGCAGGAGACAGCAGGGGCTGAAATTCAGCCTCAGGCTAGCAACTGCGTCTACCCAAAATGACCACCATTTCTTTCATCCCACCCACCTATCAAATTGTGGGACCCTAATTGTGAGCTCCTCCCATTCACACTTGTCTGCACCCCCACCCCATCCTCATACTACAATAATGGTTTTATATAGTATTTGTCCTTACGGGACTGAGTTAGTTCACTCAGCATGGAGACCACCTTTTTTTAATTCACAATCTGCATGTGTCAGCCACAGCCCCACAGAGTGAACGCCTGGTCCTGTTCTTGCCTGACCCCTTCTGCGTTCTCTTTTGCAGGATGGCAAAGAACTCCCGCATGAGCCTTGCCAGTGCTTCCAATGAGAACTATACTTTCTGCTGGCGCGTGTTTTGTGCCTGGGATTACCTCATTGGAAACCCAGAGGCTGCTGAGAGCAAAACAGCAGCCATTGTGAACAGCATCAGGGTGGGTGAGCCAGCCTGCTCAGGCTGCCTGAGGAAGAGCCCTTCGGTCTACCAGGGGCTGCACGGGGAACTGTGACCCTCTGAGATGGGACAGATGAGAGAGGGAAAGAGGAGAAAAGGAAAAAGATGAGAGCATGATGGGTAGTTCCCTTCAAAACTCTCTTTCCTGGGCATTGTCCATATTTTCTGTCTATTGGAATTTTGGTCTTTTTACCCCTTAGTATATATAATTGCTAATCATTTTAAGAAAATTGGGTTTTTCTTGGTGATGGGAATTTCAAGTACTGCCACTTGCCCAGTTTGCTATTTATCTTTTGATTGGCATATAGAGCATTTTTCTATACTGAATTTTTAATTTTTTTGCATTCTATTGGTGTCATACTTTAAAAGATTTTCCTCTTCTTGAGTGAATTATCCAATGCTTCAGATCAGCTTTATATTCCCGCTATTTGGAGGCACTGGAATTCTACATACCCCGTGGATATTCCCTCTTCCCAATCTCCAATTTTCATCCTCTGTTACTGATTATTAGCTAAGGGATTTATTTAAATAGAATCTTTCAGTATAAAACATTAGATATTGAACCTATGATTAAAAGACAGGATATAAAAATTTATAACAGCTTTTAATGATTTGTGGTTTAAGCTAATCTCTTAATACTATGTTTTTCTTTTCTTAAAGGAGGCTATCCTGGAAGAACAGGAAAAGAAGAAAAACAAAAACCTGTATGTATTAATGTGTCCCATGCTGAATGCATTGATAAGCTTTGTTACAACTTGGCCCCAAAATTACCAGAAAATATATATCTTATTTGCATACATTTTTCAGAGAGCTCTTCTTTCTTTTTTTTTTAATTATCAGACAGCTTTTCTTTCTTCATGTCCCCCCTTCTATCAATATGCTATCTGACAACTCTATACAATTTTCTTAGCAGTATTTCAGAGCGGTTTTATTCTGAAAGAAGGATGAAAGGTCTGACAGTAACTAGTTTCCTATTTTTCACACAGATAATCAAAGAGGTATTTTGGTCTATCTTAGTTTGCCAAATTAAGCAAATATAGGAATACTTTTGAGACTGATATTATTTAGAAACCAAACTCTGGGGTTATGGAAAACAAAATCACCCAATTCTTATTCACAGGAAGTCTTTCAGGTCACCTCTTAGGTTTGAGGTTTTCTTGTTAAGGTTTTGACACCGATCCTGGTGAGGTTCTTCCAGTCAGGACCCGGTGGGACCTGAAGAACATTCTCAGGAAGAACAATTGCCCTTCAGGCAGACATGACTATTCCTCTGACATGTTTTGCTGGCTCTTGTCTCTCACTGTTAGTTTATGTGATACAGAAAAAGTTACAGGAAAGAACATAGGGACATAGGGAGCTAGCACTTAACCACTGTGAGATAAAATTAACCATTGTGAGGCTGAGAGAGAACAGGGGCCTTGATGGAAAAAGCTCTCAGAGAGAGTTAGAGCACAGGGATCCCAGCTCTCCCTTTGTCATCGACTATGCATGGCTGAATATTTGAAAGCACGGAAGAAATGAAGCAGTCTGCTCCTCAAAAGATTTACAGCCTCAGAAACCTAGTGAGGTAGTTCTTTTCTCCCCTGTTTGGTCCCTATAATCCAGAATTGAGTTGATGGTTGCGTCAGTGGTAGGTGTATCTCTTACCTGGCCTTTATTGACCTTTATGTCTTCTCCTGTGAAGTAAAATAATGGGATCCCATTGATACTTCTCGGAGGTTTCTTCACATCTTCCTGGTCACCTCTTTTCCAGCCACTGCTGCTAGGCGGGACTGGTGGCTTCCTTGAGCTGCACACATGTATGCTAGCTGCTCCCTTTTCTGGTTGTCCCACTGCTCCTCTGAGCCTGCAGCGTGAACTGCCCACAAGACACAAGACAATGTGCCCCAGACAACCCATGGAGCTGCCATGATCCAGCAGGAAGCAAAAATTGATAAGAAGTGTGTCCTTCCTTCATCCCTACAGAGAGTGCTGGGGTGTATCTTAACCACACTGGAAGGTCTGCTTCTGGCTGCAGCCAGGTCCACCAAGAGGCCTGGCTTTCCCACCTCCCTACTTCACTCCCCAGGACTTCACAGCAAACAAGCTTTTGCCTCAGGCTCTGTTTTCAGGGAAACTTGAAGCTAAGTCAGACTCCAAAGATGATAGAAGTTGCCTTACAAGCAGGCCCAGTGAGAGTCAGACAGTGACTTTTCACCCAGGGTTAGGAAAAGTAGATGTCTTGATATTATTACAGCATAAATATGGTTGTACTTTCAGGGAGCATGTTACAAGAAGGAAAAAATGCCTGTTGCATGCATTCCAACTCACAGTAATCTTGTGGACAAAGTAGAACTGCTCTAGTGTGGTAATCTCGCATGACAGGAGCTCTGAAGCTGTGAATCTTTAGGAAGGCAGATGCCTTATTTTTGTTTCACAGAACAGCCAGCTCATAGTTGCAAACACTGACAGCTAAATGCTTTCACCACTGTGCTACCATGTCTTTTTGTGGTTGTGTACCATCAAGTCAGAACCTATTGTTTGCAGACTCTCTAGCAGATTTTCAGAGACTGTAAATTGCATGGGAGATTATATTTTTCTCCTGAGGAGCGGCTCGTTGATTTGAACCACCTGCCTTTTGGATTGGTAGCATAGCAACTCTCTTAACCCACTATGCCATCACAGAAAATGCATATGTAAATGCCAACTCAGCCTTTGCTTCAAGATCCCACTTGGAACATGGGAAGTGAGGGAAAGTGAGGAAAGCAATGAGGTTCATCCTGTAATATCACACAGGCTCTCCTCTGTTTAGACTTAGTTTTAAAACCACACCCACAGCTCTGGGGTTAATTCTGATTCAAAGTGACCCTCCGTAAATTTTTGAGGCTGTAAATCTTCATGGTAGAAGATTGCTCATCTTTCTCCTCAAAGAGCTGCTGGTGGGTTCCAACCACCAGAGAGACCACCCTTCAGTTAACAGCACAACTCACTAAGGGCTACACTACCAGAGCTCTTTCTCTGGAATTGGAATAATCTCACAGCTGACCCTCCTCACAGCTGACCCGCCAGCTCGTTTTCAGGAGGCCGTACATTTCCTGGAAGGAGATTGCCCATCTTTCTCCTGTAAAGCTGCGGTGGATTCGATCACCACTGAGGCACTGTTTCTGGTTAGCGGCACAACTGCCTGTGAGTTGTGCTACTAGAGCTCTATATTACATCAGTGGTTCTAAAAAGCTGATCCATGAGACTTTCCATCTTTCTCCCACAAAGCATCCAGTGGAATCAAATCACCCACCCTTAGCAGGGCAACCTGCTACACACTATGTCTCCAGGGCATTTAATTTACTCGCCAATCTAGCAGAGATTTAGGAAGTGTCTTTATGTGCTAGACATAGGGAGCCTCGATAGCACAGTGTGTTGAGCTTCAGGTTGTTGAATGAGAAGTCATCTGTTTGAATCCACCATCCACTTGACAGGATAGTGGGAAGTCTCTGCACTTAAATATTGACAGCCTCAGGAACCTGTCAGAGGGACGCTGTTTGTTGGGATTGACTCAAAGGCAGTGGGTTTGTTTATTCCCTTTTGCTTTGCTTATGTAGTAAGCCTGTTTGAAGAATTGAGGATTCACCAGTGAAAAAGATGGAGAAGTTTGAAAGTTTAAAGTGGTTGGTATATATGACCTTTAAGTTAGAACCTCAACATGCTATAAACATCATCACCAGATCCACCAAGCACTCTGAGGGAAAAAGATGGGCAATCTCCTCCCTTAATGATTTGCAGCCTCGGAAACCAGAGGAGGGTCTTGCCACCAGACAGAATTAATTAGAAGGCAGTGGTTTGGATTTGCTTTGCTCTGTGGGAGAAGGCTTGGAAATCTCTTCCTGTACGATTAACTGCCTCTGAAAACCCTCAGGAGTGTCAGCTATGGGCTCCTTCAACAGCATACAACAACAACAGTGTGGAACATTCACCAGCGCTACATCCAGTGAGAAGCAGAATTACTGCTCTATTCCAATTTGTTTCTCCTTCTTCCTTTCCCCTCTCCCTTTGTTGAACGCATTTGTTTTAATCCCTGTAACTTTTGTGTGTAGACCACAAGACTCTAATTTAGACTCTAACTTAGGTTACATAGCTAAAATTGAAGCCCAAATCCTCAGAATCTGAAAGCAGTGATGGTTGCCAGATTGTTTGCTTGGTTTTTTCCAAAGCCTCACCAATGGTGGTAGATTGATTTACAATGCATAGCTGACCACTTAGGAAGTGAGAGATCCCAGGAAGGGGAGGATATTGTTCTGTCATTCTGATTGATGTGTTATGGACCTCAAGTTTTATCAGTCACATCCTTCAATTCATGACCCATAATTATCATCAGTGATACTATCATTGTTATAATTTTTTATTTTCTCCCATAAAGCCACATGCCCACTTCCATTCTCCACCCCTCCCCATGTTAGTCAGCAATACTAGTATAATTAATGTAGATACCCTTTCTGTCTGTCTTCCAAATGGATATCTAGATGTGTAGAAACCAAAGCCAAACCCAAAGCTGTCAGATTGACTCAGTGTGACCATCTTTCTCCCCGGAACCACCTGGTAGACTCAAACTGCGAACCTTTCCATCAGCCGCACAATACACCATGTCACTACAACTCCTTAAGTATATGCATAGTCATGAGAATGATGGGGGTTTTTTTATTAAGGAGAGACAATGGTTCTTCAGGTAGGGAATCTACTTGGCAGTAAATGTGTTTCTAACTTCAACCCACTTGGTCTGCACACCTGGTCCTCCTACCTGCCTCTCCCTCCAGAGCAGTGACCATCTGTCTGAGGATCATTGCCAACATCTTGGTTCTTCTCTCTCTTGCTGGGAGCATCTATCTTATCTACTTTGTGGTGGACCGGTCCCAGAAGCTGGAGCAGTCCAAGAAAGAGCTGACACTTTGGGAAAAGAATGAGGTACCCACTGCATGTTATATGTTTGTCTCCCAGGAAGAGGCACAATGTGGCCTAGCCATCTGTGTCCTGAAGGTTTCTTAAGTTGGTTAGCTAGAAATATCTCTAAGAAAAAAGATTTAGTCCTCTCTTCCTAGAGCTTGGACCACAAGGGATTCAGACCAAAATGGCAGCACCATACCTTGGTGAAGTGCTTTTACCCAGCTCAACAGGGAAAGAGCTGGATTAAAAAGAAACAACCTATAAGCATTCTCATCCTTCCTTTTGACATTTGCTTACTGTAGTTTGCAATTTGAACTTGATGCTTCTTCAGCAACATGGTTTTAGAAACTACTTTTCATAAACAAATGTGCCATTTTCCACACCTACACTGCATTCCATCGTGTGTTATCAAGGTTGACCATTTGCCAACCATTGGACACTTGGGTGACTTTCCATATTTATAGATAACAAATTGTGCCTATTAAACCAGCTCTACACAAGTAATCTGTTTCTAGTTTTCTCATTTATGAATAGCCCCATAAATAGAAAACTACCAAGTATAGGTTATGAATAATTTGAGAATTCTTAATATGTATTCCAAAACTGCTGTCCTTAACGGTTCATCTGATATACCTTTAAAGAAATAAAATGTAAAAATACCACAAACACCATCTCTTAGATGATCTCTATGAAGTTGGTGCCTCACCCATATGGTAGCCATCATCTTCCAAAATGTGTGGTATTTTAAAACCTAAGATTATCAAAGGTTATTAAATCCCTTCTCTCATTTCTCCTTTTATTTTATGGCAATTAAATGCGTTTATATAAATGCATGCTTGTGTGTTTACAATCAGATAGGTAGTTAATTTATTGTTTAAGATACACTCAGAATTTATTTCCTATTTTTGGTTTCAATCTCTTATTTCCGAGCTAAAATTCCAGATCTTATTTATCACAAGTACAAACAACAACCGCCAGACACAATCCACTGGACAATTAATCTCCTGTACACATAAAGCATATTAAATTACCACTCAGCCTTCCCGTTTCTATTTGTAATAGTTGCAGTTACTTCCACCTTCCTTCTGTATAGGCTGGAGGAAGTAGAAATAGAATTAAAAGATAATTGGGCAAAGTGGGAGAAATGCTAGCAAATTTAAAGAGCATGTATGTGTGTCTTCAGATTCAGAGCAGTTCCTGAAAGGAACAAATCAATGATAAAGTGTGCATGCCCTTTGGTAAAGAGTTAATCAGTAGGGATTTACGTTGCTGCTACTTTTGTGTGCCATCAAGTCAGAACTGAAGCACAGTTGACCCTCCAGCAGGTTTTCAGAGGCAGTTAATTGCACAGTTGATCTCCAACAGAGCCACTGGTGGATTTGAACCACTCTTCTTTGGGGTTGCAGCGCAGTTTATTACCCACTGACGAAGTATTAGCTAAGAGACCAACTGTTAGGTACGTGAGCTTGGTCTGCGGGACCCAGGTGAGCCTAAGTGTCTGGCACGTGTTCTCTTGACAGGTGAGCGTGGTGGTCTCCCTCGTCACCATGTTAGCACCATCAGCCTTTGACCTCATCGCCGCCTTGGAGATGTACCACCCACGAACCACACTGCGCTTTCAGCTAGCAAGGTACTGTCACCTTGCTGAACGTGACCATATTGTGTCACACCCACTGCCCATCCACAGTGGTCACTCAGGAGGTAGGGTACTTTATCTATGAATGCAGCTCAATCAAGGAGAGGTATACAAGGAAAGAAAGAAGGCAGAGAGAGGGAGAGGGCAGAGGGAGCTAGGACTAGAGGATGAGGTCAGGAGGAATGGGTTCAAAGGTAGTGAAGAGAGCAAGCAAAGTGAACAAAGAGGGGCAGGAAGGAGAGAAGAGGAGGAGGGAAAGTGGGTAAGACATAAGGGGACGAGAGGAAGGTGAGAAAGAAGGCACAGCAAGAATAGAGGAGAAAGGAGGGAAGAAAAAGACAAGAAGACTACCATCAAATAAATAGACTAAAACATAATAAAGAGAGCAAGCCGAAAAGCAGGAGATGGAGCAAGAGGAAGGTAAATAGGAGGAGAAGGAAGAAGAGGAGGGGAAAGGGGAGAAAAGATAGAAGACGGGTGAAGGGGTACAAAAAGAATAAGGGAAAGGAGATGCAGGAAAAGCAGATGAACAAGCAAAAACCTAAAAAGACAGTAGTCAGCGTGCCCTGCCTTTCTCAGGGATGAGCTCCCACAATGGTGGGACGAGAGGTGGAGAAAAGGGAACGTGTTTCTCCAGACATGAGAGGAACACTTAATCCTTTGATAATGAGACCCAAATGGGCAGGCTTAAAGTACACTTTAAAAAAAAAATATATTGATTAACATACAAAATTTGTATACATTTTATGTAATTCATATGCAGTGTGCTTCACACATACTCTCATTCCAATTTTTTTTCAAACAGTATCACTCATATACATTGTGTTTTATGAAATTAATTACCACTGGTCTATGCCTGCTATTATCCCATCTTTTCAGGTCCTCACTGGATCTTTCCTAGTTCTTTCACACACATACTACTCCCCGCCTACCAAACTCTGTTATCCTTATGATTTCCTCCCCTCCCCAACCTCTGCCAGTGTGACACTCCTTTCCTCTTTTAGACTTTTATACACATCTTACTAGTTATATTTCTATTTTTTACAATCATGGTCTTATATAGTATTCATCCTTTTGAGACTTAGTTCAATCAGGGTAATACTCTCTAGACTCTCATATGTTGCACAGTATTTTACAAAATTGTTATTCCTTAATGCTGCATAGTATTCCATTGTGTGAATGTACCATCATTTCCTAATCCATTTATTTATTGATGGACACTTGAGGCTGTTTCCATTTTCTTGCTGTTGTGAATAATGCTGCTATGAACATAGGTGTACAAATTTCCATTTGTGTTTCACTTCTGTTTTCCTCGGGGTATAGTCCTAGCAGTAGAATAGCTCGGTCATATGGGATTTCTATAGTCAGATTTTTGAGGAAATGCCAAACTGCCTTCCAGAGTGGTAGTACCATTTTACAATCCCATCAGCAATGTTTGAGAGTTCTGCTCTCTCCACATCCTCTTCAATATTTATTACTTGCTATCCTGTTAAACTTTGCTACTGCTACTGGTGTGAAATGGTATTTCATTGTGGTTTTTATTTGCATCTCTCTGACTTCCAGTAATTTTGAGCTAATTTCCAGTAATTTTAAATTTACTTCCAGTAATTTTTTTTCGTGTATCTGAATGGTCCTGCCAAAACTGGACTTCTACATACAGAAAGCTGAAGTAGGATCCTCATCTCACACTATACATAAAAATCAACTCAGGTGGATCAGAGATCTCGGGGTAACACCCAAAACCATAAAGATCATAAGACACAAAATGAGACCTTTCTAAAGAGCACAGAATGAGACACTGACACAGGGTCATGTATGCCTCTCGGAAAGGGCCAGAAGGAATGAGAACAGCACAGCCCCTCACTGCCCCAGAGCAGGAAGCAGATGAAGAGCCCGTAGCCAAGCCCCAGGCTGCCTCTAGAACCACACCAACAGCAAGAGGTTCTTCTACTCATTGCTGACTCATAGTTATGGTACCAACAATGGGGTGTATTAGGGAAGAAGGTTGGAGTGTGAGGGAGCAAAGAATATCACCCATTGCAAACCCAAGTTTTAGCCAAGCAATCCTGAAGCACAATTCCTCAATTCATGCATGCTCTGTTTCAGTTCAGTAGTCAAATCCAAAACTTTGAGCAAGGTTTGCCTCAGAGCAGTTATAAGCCAGCTTTTCCTTTAAACATCCAGTAAGAACAGCCAAATCTTTAACTGTGGCAAGCACAAATGCAAGAATCCTCAGGTCACATCTTGCCACTATTTGTCCACAACAATGTCTCTCCATAGTCTCTCCACCACCTGGGTCTTCCTCTCATCAGGGTCTCACTTGCCTCAAGTCTTACTGCCCAGTTTGAGAAGCACTCTTTCACTAGTCCCACAGCTGCTGGTGATTTGCAAGAGTAGGCCAATTTGCAAGAACATGTGTCAACAGTTAAGGTAGCTGAAAAGACAACTAACTAATGGCAAAAAAAAAAGGAGCCAATTTTTAGGCTAACACCACAGGACCAAACTTGGAAGCTCTAGCTTATAGTATAAATAAGCTTACAAGTATAACCTAAAATGTACAATGAGGAGAAGACAAAATTGATGGATGGGACCTTTTAAAAATTAATCTTCTATGTGTTTAAAAAATTTTCCCAAATACAGACTGGGAAAAAGATTTGGCAATGACATCTCAGACAAGGGTCTCAAAATGAAAGTTTACAGTATACTAAAGGGGCCTCCACAAGAAAAAAAATGACAACCCAATCACAACACATGCAAAACACATAGAAAAACTTTTCATAAAGGAAGACATTCGGATGGCCAACAGACACATGAAGACATGCTCAAAGTATAGGTTCTTGAGGGCATACTGGGAGCCTCAAGACTGGGCCAGCATTGTCAGTGGCTGAGATCACAGTCCTGAACCACGCAGGCTGGTGGTGTGAGGATGCAGCCCAGAACACCCTGTGAGTCAAGCAACCATATTTCTGGGTTTCATCAATATTTTCCCATACAACCTTTGAGAAACCTACTGCCTCTCTCTGATGTTTAGTCTTCCCATCTAGAGGTTAAGCTACAAGGTTTATGTTGAGATCGTCTTAAATTCAGCATCTCAGCCATTTCTTGCCTCCATTCACTCTCTAGTCTGCATTTCTTCTATTTTTTAAAATGTTTCTCCCAGCTTTCTGTTGATGTTGTTAGTTGATCCTGACTCATAAGGACCATCTGTGTGCAGAGTAACACTGCTCCATAGATTTTACAAAGTCTGCCTTTTGACTGCAGATCCCAGAGTTTGCCTTCGGAGGTGCAACTTTTTGGATGCAGGCAGGCACATTAGTGTTTGGCTCATCTCTTCCACAGACCACTTTCTAAACATCTGGTCCTCCTTCTAGAGTCCACAAACATACTCTGTAAGGGATCTGATGGTAAATATTTTCTCTTTGGTGAGGCATGCAGTCTGTCATAACTACTCTGAAGTGGTGGCATGAAATCCTCCATAGATAACTGACAAGGAAGAAACCAAGGGCAAGGCTGTATTACAATAAAACTTTATTTGTAAAGCAGAAGAGGGAGAAACTTGACTCAGAGGCCCTAATTTGTTGAACTCTGAAACTCAGCTTCAAAGACAGTAACTCCTGATGAGAAAGAGCAAGCAGTTTGCCAAGACCCAAGCCTTGGGCATGTCTAAGATGTTATGTCAATCCACTATGTTGTTAATTGCTGTCAAGCTGGCTCCTGGCTCATGGTCAAGCAGCATGTTTTAGAATAGCAATATTCCCTAGGGCTTAGGAGGTTTTGTTTTTACTATAATCTTCATGGATATAGATCTCCTGGCTTTTTTTTCCATAGAACTGATGGATGGATTTGAACCCACAGCCTTTATGTTATCTACCAATCACAAGCTACTTACTCAGGACCCTTTATAGGCTTTTAAAATGGCTCATCACCTTTTTTAACCTGGAAGAGAAAAGTGCCTTTATCATGAGCAGGCCCGGAGGAGAATCAGTTCCATTATTGCATTTGGTATAACTGCAATCCTATTACATAGATTGACCTCATCATTCACGTTCAAAACTAGAGAATCAATAAAACAACTAAAAGATTAAAAAAAAAAAAACTAGAGAATCAGAGGCATTGAGAGATTTCCCCCAGTCAAATTAAAGGTAATTCTTGTAATAAAAGGAAGACATATTATTTCAGTACCATTGCCTCACCCCCTGACCATGTTATCTTTCCCCAAGACGCAGTGAAAACTAGCAAATGGGAATCAAAAGAATGTGAGTGATTCTTCCTCAACTTATCACTTACTATGTAGACACTGAGGTGGATCTCGTCCTGTCCCAAGTACTGTAAGTGCAGAGAGGAGAAAGGTCCTGACGTTATGCAAGAGAGGATCCCCAAGAGGTTGGTAGTGTGACCTCATCAGGTACTCTGTAGGAAAAGGATGAAGCAGTGTGTTTCTGTAAAGATTTGTGGCTTTGGAAACTTGGGCAAATCCCACTCATTCCCATGTGTCCACATGGCGTAGATGCACCCATGGTCCCTCAGCCCCTCAAATTCTCACCCTCTTAATCCTCTAATTCTCTCAAATTCTTGGCTCCTTAGCCCCACAGTCTCTCCATCGGTCAAGCCCTCTGCCCCTCTAACCCTCAGTCATTCAGTGGCTGAGACAGGTTCTGTCTTTATTTCAGAATCTGAACCCTGAGACTCCAGATCTGTGTTCTACCTCATGGTAAATGTTTCACCTTGAAAAAGTTTCTGTGCTCTCTGCGTGTTTCATTTTATTTGTCCCATATGTAGGCCATAAGTGGAAATTATAATTACCTGAACTCCTTATTAATATTAAGGGAATCAAGTGAGATAATGCATAGAGAATCACTGCATAAACCAGAAAGCATGACACGAGGACACTTTTATATTTAGTGTTACATCAAACCAATACCAGTTGCCTTCAAGTCCACTGCATCTCATGGAGGGTCTTTATGTGTTAGGATAGAGCTGTGTTCCGTGGGACTTCAACAGCCATTTTTCCAACCAGGCCTTTTTTCTGAGGAACATTTTTGCTGTCAGTTAACAGCTGAAGACATTAACTGTTTTTTAGTGCATATCTGTATTTCTCCTAAACTCTCTTGGTGATTCTGAAGGAAATCAAGTTTGGCAGCTACTGTCTTAGCATATCCGTGGTACTCCACTACTGTCAAGTAGCATTTGATCATGGAGGATTCAGACCCTCCATTGGCCTTCTGAGACTAGATAACTCATTAACAGGGGCAGACTGCCCAAGGAGTCTTCTCCAAAAGAGGATGGGTGTATTTGAACCACCAGCTCTTCAGTTAACAGCCCAACACTTAGCCCACTATACCACAGGGCTCCCTCATTCCTTCATGGTGGCAGGTCTGGAATATTGGATGCTTATGCAGTGACCTTGGCTCTCGCATGTTCTTGTTCCAGGGTCCTTGTGCTGTATCTGGGAAATCTCTACAGCTTGATCATTGCTCTGCTGGACAAAGTTAACAGTATGAATATCGAGGTGGGTGCCATGTCGTGAGAAGTTGCCCCTTCACACACACACACACACACGCACACACACATACACACACACTCACACTCACACACCTATAGAGCCATCTTCACCTTTGGAATCATCGTAGAATCCTACTTGTACTCTAACACCATAGTCAAAATTCAGTTGCTTTGTAGTCTTCTCAAATTAAGAATAAGAAAATGAACCCATTTATCAGATAAAGAAACTGAGGTCAGCATTCATGCTAGTAAGTGACAGTTCTGATTCTTTTGATACCAAGTTCTTTTCATTCCTTCTTCTACCTAACTTCCTGGAATCTTACCAGTGAATACATTGCAAATCATCAATAGAAAATGATCTCAGAAAGAGCTGTAGTCCTGGGGCTCACTCAGAAAGTAAGAAGCATCATCTCCTGGACATGGTTCAGAGTAGGCCCCACTCTGGCCCCGTAGAGAACATTCACTCCCAGCTTATACTAACTGATGCTCTCCAGTGAGGACATCTTGAATGATGGAAGTGGGGACAGGGAAGTGGGGGTCTCTCAGGGTCTTCTGCTCACACCATCCCATCCTATCATCAAGTCCAAAAGTGAAATTGGAAACAAAGTCACAGGAAACAAAGTCACATAGGAAACAATCAGCAACAAGACCTTGAGATCGTATCTACCTGCGTCCTCGCCTGTCTTTTACAAATGTCAAGACCTTGAATAATCACTTTCTACTCTGTGACTTTCACTGTTCTCATTTGGAGCACCAGGAAATAATTCTTAGCTGATATGCATGTTATTAGGAAGAGATAGGAGACTCAGACTCCTTGCTGTTGGATTAGAACCAAGTCATAGATAACTCGCCAGAGGGTTTTCAGAGGCTGTAATTGAAACCGAGGAGGTTGCCCGTCTTTCTCTTGCAGAGCAGCTGATGGTTTCAAACCACAGGAGAGGTGTTACCTTTGGATGAGCAAAGCAATTCTCTAGGCCACCAGAGTTCCTAGGAAGAGACAGCATAGATTACTCTAGAACAGCCTCTGGCACATGTGAACAATCAATAAATACTATCCATTGAAGCTCTGTGCTCTGTTACAGGGGCCAATTCTAGGCAAATGGACTGTTGATCAAGCTTAGACTGACACAGAGAGAAATGGAGGGAGAGGAAGAAGGAGAGGGAGAGGGAGAGGGAGGGAGGGAGAGAGGGAGAGAGAGAGAGAGAGAGAGAGAGAGACTGAGAGATTATTCCTACACTAGTTGTGAGGCAATGATGCACTTGATGTCTGTGATGGATTTTTATTAACAAATATGTGGCTATTCCGCCCCCCCCCCCTTCTTTCTCTCCACAGGAAGCTGCTCAAAAAAACAACACACATCGTTGGGTGGACACCACTACATTCTTTGCCACCAGGACGGCTCTGGAAGGGAAATGGTCCACCCCTCGGCCTGGGTTAGGGCTCCAGAGAAACAGCACCTGGGTCTTGGAAGAGGCTGGTGCCCCAACTCTCGTCATGCCCCTCACAGAGGCCAACAGGACCACCCTCCACACACAGAGCGTACAGGACCAGTGCTGGGAGACATACGTTGGGCAGGTGGTTCCCGACACCCCCTTTCACAGTCATTTCACCACTGAGACCCTAACACCTCTCTCAATGTCATGCTCCTTTTATAGAAAAGGAAAGCTCAGTGAGCATGATTTTCCACCTCTCAAAAGTCAAAATAACAATCTGTATAAAGGCATATGCAGTACTGACTACGTGGTAGGTCCTGCGCTAGGGGTCTAATCCACATAAAAATTCTGTTATTATCATCCTGATAGGCACCATCCCCAAGTAGTGAACACAGTTAACACGTTCAACTTCTAATCTATGATTTGGTGGGTCAAGTCCATCCAGAGGCAGCTTGGGAGAGAGGCTTAGAGATCTCCTTCCAAAAGAGCAGTCACTGAAAACTGTAAGGGGCACAGATCTAGACTGATCTACTTGGGGTCCCTAGCAATTAAAAATGACCAATAGTTTTCTCTAGACACAGATGAGGAAAACTAGACACAATAAGTTAAGTGACTTGATTAAGAGCCCAGATAACAAAGAGGAGAATGAAGACCCAAGCCTACTTTTGTACTTCAAAATCTGTGTTCCTAACCATTCTACCTTTTGCTTTAGTTACATAATCTCATACAGAGAATCACAGGCCCTTGACATTACCCATGGAAGTGACTCTCAGGCCTTAAGGGGCTGACTGTAGCTCAGAACCAGAGATTAGAGATTCTTCCTAATGAATTGTAATTTTCCCTCTAATCACTGATATTTACATTCCAATGAACAAGTACCTGAGCTCCTTATATACGCCAGGAGCGCCAGGAGTGCAGCACCAACCCTTATAAATCTGAGCAACACCAGTGGCAGAGGAGAGGGCTGTAGCTCGCTGGGATGGAAGGGTGGGAGGTGGGTGGGCACGGCATGGGTGGGATCCCGGGACACCTATGTTCCAGGAGATGCTGAAGCTGTCCATCATTGACATGCTCTTCACCGTGGCCAGCATTCTGCTCATAGACTTCTTCCGAGGACTCGTCGTTCGCTATTTAAGTGACTACTGGTGCTGGGACCTGGAAAGCACTTTTGTAAGTTAAATGGTGTGTCTCTGTGGGAGGGTCACAGAGCTAAACGCAACCTTTCAGGTGTCCAAGCTGAGTGAAAGCCCAGCCGTGGGTAAGGAGCAGAGGGTAGGAGAAAATGTCTGAGGGGAGAGGGAAAGGCCGAGGGAAAAGCTGAGTATCTATCCCATTTTTTACGTTTATGATTTCTTGTGATGTCAGAAAATGATCTCTAGGTATTTTAAAGAGGAAAGGAATCTGCTGGGCTGGTGTTGCTCACAGCAACACTACAGAACAGAGATAGGAGTGGTCCATATACAGAACTGCCCCACATATAAACCTACCTCAGAGACTTTCCTGAGCTATAATGATATATATAGCTTTTGCTGTTGTTAAGTGCCATCAAGTTGCTTGTGATTCATAGCAACCCTATGTACAATATCTCTGACCTCTGCTCTATCCTGTGCCATCCTCATCATCTCCACCACACCCATCCCCATTACCACACTCACTGAGTCAATCCATCTCATCCAAGGTCTTCCGTTCTTGTGCTATCACCACCCACACCCACCCCCCAAAACATGATGTCCCTCTCCAGACACTGGTCCCTCTTTGCAACATGTTCAAAACATGTCAGATGGAACTTCAGAATCCTTGTCTCCAAGGAGCATCCTGGTTTCATCCTTTCTAGGACAAACCTGTTTGTTTTCTTAACAGTCCATGGTATATTCAAAACTCTTCTCTAACACCACAGCTCAAAGGCAACAATTCTCCTTCAATTATCCCTAGTTCTTGTCCAATTAATTAAATTTATGTATAGCAATTAATTGCAAAGGCCATGGCCTGGATCAGGTACACCTTAGTCTCCAGATTGACATTTTTGCTCTTCAGTACTCTAACGAGGTTCCTGGCAGCAAATTTTCCCCAATGTAATTCATCTTTTGAGATATATCATGTTTTTATTACATTTTTATTTTATTTTGGTTTGTTTACCAAGTTCATATACATTGTGTTTCACACTGTTCTTCATTAACAAAGTGTATAATACAATCATTCCATTCATTATATTTTATAAAATTAATCACCATTTGACTAAGCCTTCCACTATCCAGCTCTTTCCCATTTCCTTTACCCCCTCCCTCCACCCACCAAATTGTGTCACCCTGTGGTTTGCCTATACCCATCCTCCTCACTCCTCTGCTCCCACTCCTCCCCTTGGGGCCCTACACATGTTTTACGAGTTATCCTTCTATTTTACAGTCTACTTCCTAAACAATATGCCTCTGGAAACTTATGAACTTTGATAAGTGAAGATAGTTATAGAAAGGCTTCAGGCCTTTTGTTATAGCATCATTAGCAATCAACAACAAGTCTTATGCAGTATTTGTCCTTATGAGACTGAGTTAGTTCACTGTAATCTTTATGGAGCAGACCATCATGTCTTGTCTTTTCTGGGACAGTTGGTGGGTTCCAACCATTAACTTTTTAGTTAGCCATCAAGTCCTAAAACAATTGTTTTACCAAGGTTTGAATATAGTAGAAATTACTTATACAAAGAACTTTGGAATGTCTTTCATACATAACTCAATTTTCTCTTATAGCCAGAATATGGGGAATTCAAGATAGCAGAGAATGTGCTGCATTTAGTCTACAACCAAGGGATGATTTGGTAGGTATCAAAGCTGCTCCTTGTCTTTCCAGACACTTCATTCTGGGTGAAAATTTTACTTTCGTTAGTGTGGATGGGACAAGATCATAATAAATACACCGTTAAGAAAGGGGGAGCTCTGATAGCCTAGTGACAAGAAGTTGTACTTCAATCCCGAAGGCGCATGGTTTGAATCCACCAAATTCTCCTGGAGAAGGAGGGACAATCTCCTTCTGTGCCTGTCAGATCTGATTTGATAATACACAACAAGAAAAAAAATCCTGAAGAAAGGATATAAATTGTTCCAATGGAAACATTTTGCATCTATAATAGACTTATTATAGCTTTTCTAAGCATTTTTGCTTTCAGTCAAGATACATCTGACATTGGCAATGATATTTCTGGTGCTACAGCCTCTTCTAAACCCATCCTGTACTTCTGATTGTTCTCTGTCAATGTACTGCTCCAGTTATTTTTGTATAATCTTCAGCAATATTTTGCTTGGTGTAATATTAGTGATATTGTTTGATAATTTCTACTCTGTTGGATCACCTTGTTTTGGAATGGGAATAAGTGTGGATCTCTTCTAGTGAGCTAGCTAGGTAGCTGTCCTCCAGCTGCCAATGTCATATGGACCTTGGCTGAAAGCAGAGAGTATGAGAAAAATATCTATCTGTGTTTCATTGACTATGCAAAGGCATTTGACTGTGTAAATCAAAGCAAACTGTGGCTAACCTGAGAAGAATGGGAATTCCAGAACATCTGATTGTGGTCATGCAAAATCTATACTTAGACTAGGAAACAGTCATCAGAACAGAGCAAGTAAACAGTATGGTTCAAAATCAGGAAAGTAGTGTGTCAGGGTTGTGTCTTGTTTTCAGTATATGGAACAGATCATTCAGGAGGCTGGTCTTTATGAGGAGGAATGTGGCATAAGAATTGGAGGAAGATGTATCAACAACTTGCATTATGCAGATGACACAACCTTGCTTGCTGAAATTGAGGAGGACTTGAAGCATCTGCTGCAGAAGGTCAAGGACTGCAGCCTTCAATATGAATTGAAGCTCAACATCAAGAAGACAAAGAGTCTCACCACTGGGCCACTTGGCAACAGCAGAGAGATGTAGAAGAGATTGAGATTGTTAACAATTTCAGCTTGCTTGGGTCCATAATCAACACTCTTGGAACCAGCAGCCAGGAAATCAAAAGGTGAATTGGATTAGACAGCAACAGCAAGCATTTTTGCAGAAAGGACTAGTAAAAGAAATCCTCATTCCTAAGCTGCTATTGCTGTTGTTATGTGCCATCAAGTCATCTATGACTCACTGCAACCCTATGAGAAATAGCTCTGCACCCTGCCCGATCCTGAGCCAATCTCATGGTTTCTGATATACTTGTCCCCATTACCACTGTGTCAATCCATCTCATCCAGAGTCTTCCTTTCCTGTGCTGTCCCTCCATCCTTCCAAGCATGATGTCCTTCCTTCTCCAAGGACTAGGTCCTCCTGGAAACATGCCCAAAGTATGTTGAGACAAAGTTTCAAAATCCTAGCCTCCGAGGAGTACCTGAAAGCTCCTATTTGGACATATGTGAGTATATACCTTAGTGGGGAGGTTGAGAGCATAGAGATACAAGGAGGAGCAGCAGCTTCTCCTCAGAAAGAACGTCCAAGAGAGATCATGGGTCACAGTTGGGAACACGGCCATCCTTACCCTAAGCTCCCCACTCTGCCTCCTACACTCATTACCATGCTTTTACTCAGTTCCTAGCCCAAGAGCACTGCGATGGCCAGACCACCTGAAACACGCTGGGCGAGGACGGAAACCTGGAAACTCTGCTCACCCAGGCCATCTCCTAGGCCGAGGCACTTCTATTCCTAAAGAGGCAGTTCTGTTCCTCAAGATGAGAGATACCATCTCATCTACGTGTTTGTGTGTACATGCGTGTGTGTGTGTATATGCGTGTGTATGTGTGAGTCCACAGGAACCAGAGAGAGATACAGTGACTTCACCATCTCTCGCTTTACCTGTGGCACCATAAATAAGACTGTTTGTTAAAAATACAGTAAATCCATAAAAATAGAATTTCCTTGTCTAGACAAACAGAAAACACAGCCTCTGTTCATTAAAAGACACATTCTATTGGGTAAATCGACTGCCAAGGAGCTCTTTAAAGTGAGCAAGGATGTCGGTTTAAAGTCTAAGATGTGCCAGCTCAAGCCACGGTATTTTCTGTTGCTTTGAACAGATTTGAAAGTTGGACAATGAGTAAGGAAGACCTGAGAGGAATTGATTTATTTTTCATTGTCATGTTGAAGACAATGTTGAATATACTATGGAGAGCTAGAAAGAACAAACAAGTCTGTCTTAGAGAAAGTGCTACTAGGGTGTTTCTTAGAGGGAAGGACGTTCAAACTTCACTTCATATACTTTGGGCATGTTGTCAGGATGGGCTAATTCTTGGGAGAAGACTTCATGCTAGGAAAGCTGAAAGGACGAAGAAAGAGAGGAAGGCCTTCCCTGAGCTAGATGAACACAGTGACTTTCACAATGGACTAAACATGATGGTGATTGTGAGAATGGTGCAATGTTGCAGACCGAGGGTCCCAAAGAATGAAATAGTTTTATAATTATTAATAATGAGACAAACAGCAAGGAATGTGATAAGAGCAGAGAGCATAAAACAGGGGGCCAGCAGTTCTGAAGACCCCAAGTCATGTTTCTCTGTGTCTTTATTGAAAATTATCAGGAAGTAAATCACAAAGAGAATTCAATGCAAATGAAGCCAAGCCCTTTCTATAGAAAACCTTCTGCTTGACTCAGGAAGGAAGGGTTCACAAATGCAAGAATTTGGTTTACCCTTAACTATTAACCTTGATGCCTCAGGGTGAACTCTAGCTCAGGAAGTAACACTCCCTCTGTAGGGGGCCCCTTGCTGTCTCCTGTCTTGCAGGGAATAAACAGCTCATTTTCTGTGATCTACCACAAGAGAAATCCTAACTTATAAATCTGTAATTCCTTCAATTCCTGAACCAGGGTTTTCATATAATATTTGGTAAAAAGTTGGCTTCCCATAGTGCAAGATAGGGCAAGGTTTCAATCTGTGTTCATCGGGTGTTCCTCTGTGGGACTTCTGCACCCTAAGGGGAACAGATGCTAATCTGACCCTCTCTCATGTCTTCAGGATGGGGGCCTTCTTCTCCCCATGTCTTCCAGCATTCAACGTTCTCAAACTGATTGGACTCATGTACCTGCGGAGCTGGGCTGTGCTGACCTGCAATGTGCCCCACCAGCAAGTATTCCGTGCATCCAGGTAAGTGAATGAGAATAGGTCCTGTTTATTCTGCTTGGTCACTGAGTAATGCAAATGGGCAACATGCTCGGCTGCTGATGAGTCGGTTAGAGTACCTGGGGTACCCAGAGGCACCGAAGAAGAAAGGGCTGGTGATCCAATTATAAAAACTCAGCCACAGAAAACCCTATGAATTATAGTCTTAACCTGACATATATAAGTTTGCCATGTTGTTGTTAGGTGCCATCAAGTCACTTGCAACTCGTAGCTACCCTCTGCACAAGAGCTTTGAATGCTGTCCTGTCCTGAGCCAATCTCACTGTCTCTGACACACGCACTCCCATTACCCAAGTCACTGTGTCAATCCATCTCATCCAAGGTCTTCCTCTCCTGTGCAGTCCCTCCACTCTCCCAAGCATGATTTCCTTCTCATACATCTGTGTGTGTGTGTGTGTGTGTGTGTGTGTGTGTGTTATGTAGTGTACATATAGCAAGTATGCAGACGTGAGGTAAGTTCAATACTGGGAAGGTAAAAGGACCCATTGTTAGGGTCTGGCTGGGTGGGGCAAAAATCCTAAACTGTTTCCATCTATTGAGCTACTTGGGTAATAGTTATGGGTGCAGGGCTGCATTCTTTCAATCCTCTGAAGACTTGGGGTAAACAGATACTCACTAACCATCAGTTAGGTTTGCTGGATGATACATCTATGCCCAGTTTAGTTAGACTGGGTCATCTTCTACATACTTGTGAGCATGTGATCCTAAAACCCAGGCCTATGTCTAGGTAGCAATGGAAAGAGGGTTTTTTTCTGTTTACAAGATATCTGAGCTACCATTTCTGCACTGGTTACTTGAGCATAGGCAACCTTGGCAACCGGCCACCCAGTGAACTCAACATGTGGCATTTGATCATTTTGCAGATCCAACAACTTCTACCTGTCAATGCTCCTGTTCATGCTATTCCTCTGCATGCTGCCCACCATTTTTGCTATTGTCCGGTACAAGCCATCTGTAAATTGTGGGCCATTCAGGTAAATGATTTTCACTTAATCAGCTGTGTTTGGTGATGTAATAATACAACTTGATAAATGTGTCAGTTGTGTAGAAATAGAAAGAGCCTGGTGTCATGTAATAAAGTGGTAAATAGCTTAGTGAAAGTCTGGCAGTTAAAACCTACCCAGCAGATCTGCACGAGAAAGACCCAGAGAGAAGCTCCTAGAAGGACTGCCTAGCAAGCCCTGTGGGGCAAAGCGGCTGAATTTTGTGGATGGGCTCACTGTGAGCAGAAAGCCAGCTCATCAACTCCTAAGGACAATATACACTATTGTTCTTGGATGCCTTGGCTTGGTTCTGACTCTAGCAAACCTGTGTTGGTTGTTGTTGTTGTTGTTAGGTGCCATTGAGTTGACTACAGCTCAATGTGACCTTATGTTCAGGGACCTTGCCCTTTCCTGTGCCATCCTCATCATCTCCAACATGCTCAATGCCATTGTTACAGTCATCGTGTCAATCCATATTGTGAGGGTCATCATCTCTGTCACGGATCCTTTTTACCTTTTCCAGCATGATGCCTTTTTCCAAGGACTGGTCCCTCCTGACAACATGCTCAAAGTATATGAGACAAGTTTTCACCATCCTGACCTCTGAGGAGCACCCTGATTGCACTTCCTTCAAGATGGACTAGTTTGTTCTTTTGGTAGTCTGTGGGCTGTTCCCTACTGTTCTCCAACTCCACAGTTCTCCTTCAGGCTTCCATATTCATTGCCCAACTTTCAGATGCTCAGAAGCAATTGAAAATATCATGGCTCTAACAGGAGTCCAGAACGAAGGCTGCAAGGTGGAGTGGACTTGAGAGGAGGGATTGTCTAACAATGAAAGAATTTTTCTTTTACTTTTCAAAGAGAAGAGCGAACTAGGGGGGAGGTTGGGCAGGGAGAAAAGTGCAACAATGAATGGAAATCCAAAGTCTCTGTAGACTTTCATTAAAATTAATAAAAAAAAGTAGATCATGGCTCACATCAGTCATGTACTTGCTCTTTAGCACTTCTTCTTGATGGAAGAATTTCCCACTGAAACACATCTTTTGAATTCTTGACTCAAAATCACGGTAAGTGGAGAGAAGATTGAGGTTATCAATGACCTCATTTTGCTTGGATCCACAACCAACATCCATGGCAGCTATGCCCCTGTATACAACAGAACAAAGCAGAGCTTGGTCCTGTGCCATTCTCACAACCATTCCTATGAATGAGTCTATATTTCAAGCCACTCTGGAAGCCCATCTTTTCAATAATCTATCTCTTTTCACTGGCCCTCTGCCTTACTAAGCAAGATGTCCTTTTCCAAGAGTGTGAGATGGAACTTTTCCAGCCCAGCTCTCAAGGAACATTCTGGTTACATTTCTTCTGAGACAGGTTTATTTGTCCTTTTGACAGTCCATTGAATATCCAACATTCTTTGGGTTTTTTGTTTGTTGTTGTTATTATTATTATTATTATTAATTTTACTGAAAATTTACAGAGACTTTGGATTTCCATTCATCCATTGTTGCACTTTTCTCCCTACCCACCCCACCCTCGCAACCCAGTACACTCTCCTCTTTGAAAAGTAAAAGAAAATTTTTTTTATTATTTTATAATCCCTCCCCCCAGGTCCACTCCACTATGCAGCCTTTGTTCTGGACTTTTGTCATGACAATAATACCTAATCATACATCCCTTTTAAACAGTTTTCTCCCTCATCTGTTTCAATGCAGTATACATTATTTATCCCATCTTTTCAATCTCCCCCCAACCCTATGTCAGTCCTGTTTTACAACAGTGGCACAATGCAGCACTTGTCCTTTAATGCTTCAATTCAAAAGCATCAGTTCTTCTAGATTACATATGCATAGGATGCTATAGAACATATCTTAGGTTTATAAATATAATGTAATAAAATTAGTCCCTTTATTCATTCATGCAATCAGCGTTAGAGGGAAAACTCCTGCTAAATTCTTCTGGCTTCCACAAATTCTGTCTTTATGTACACTATTAAAATGCACATGTATATACTTTCGGCATTTGGCCAGTAGTAACTGATCCTTGCAGAAGGACATCATGCTCAGAAGGGTGGAGGGACAGTGCAGGAGAGGAAGATCCTAAATGAGATGGTTTGATACAGTAACTGGGACCATGGGGGTAGGTGTGTCAGAGTCAATGAGACTGGCTCAGGATCGGACAGGCTTCAGAGCTATTGTACAGAGGGTTAATATAAGTCACAGGCGACTTGATGGCACCTAACAACAACAACCTACGTGTACACACACAATGTGCATACTGACACCACCAACCCCAACTATGAGATCTGTACAGTATTTAGAAGGAATGTCAACTATCATTTGCACTCAGGGATTTCCTCCAGCATTTTCACTGACTGAGGATTGTCCTCCAAGCATGGAGCCATTTGGGAATGTCTCAGGGCATCCTTCTGCCAAAAGGAACAAACACCAGTGTTCATGCTTCTCTTCCCACAGCGGACAAGAAAAGATTTATGACATCGTGTCGGAAACCATTGAGAGCGACTTCCCCACATGGTTCGGCACCGTGGTTGGCTACATCAGCAGCCCCGTGGTGATCCTGCCGGCCGTGCTGCTGCTTTTGTAAGTCCAACACCCGGACACCCCCACCAGCTGAAGGAACTTCCGTGGACCTGGCCAGTAAGAAATCAAGGCTTTGTAGTAATTCCACAAAGTGAATGCATTCATTTAAAAATCACATAGAGAGCCTGACAGGATAAGCAAAGGCTCTGCAATACATGTCAGAGGAAAAAGTCATGAAGCCAAGGAGTTCTAGGTCCCAGAGAGAATGGTGGAACAAACACCATCAGTATATTCACTGATTGATCAATGTCCAATCAGTTAGTGATACTGCAGTTGAACATCAATGCTATCGTTATTTTGTTCTCCAAAAAGGTCTTTTGGTGATACATCCACTCCTAACCTAACGGGAGCTCTGGTGGCCTAGAGGTACGGAGCTGTGCTGTCAATCTGAAGGCATGCAGTTCAAATCCACCAGCTGCTTCATTGGAGAAAGACGGGCAATCTACTCCTGTACAATTTACTATTACTACCTCTGAAAACCCATTGGAGCTTCAGCTATGGGTTGGTTCTGACTCAATGGCAATGAGGTGGAGTTGAGAGCCTGAAGGAAAGCAGTGTGAACTCACTCAGAGGCCCCGGGGAGGAAAGATCTGAGATCCACTTCCACTAGTAAAATCCTACCAAGCAGTTCTGCTCTGGAACGCAGGGGGTCGCCTTGAATCAGAATCACCTCAACAGCTGTAGGCCTTCTCTGTAAATAGAAATAGTCCAGAAGAGGAATTTCACAATTCAGCTGAGTGATATTTGCTTGCTTCTGCTGGGGAATAGAAGGGGATAGGATAGAAGAGAATTGAATCCAGCTTGACGCCCTGTAAAATATCTCTGCCATCTTCCCACCTCCCTTAGTGCTAACCCATACTTTTAGATGCAGGTCTACGGAGATCACTGTGAGGAGATAAAAGAAAAAGTAAAGGGAGGCATTCTCTTCCCAGAGTTCTTGGCTTGAGAAGTTGCTTGGAAGAGGCGTCGGTGGGTGGCCCTCACCTGGCATGAGAACCTGGTATTACCAGCTGAGCAGGGCCCTTGGGCTCAAAAGCACAGAAGCCAGCTAACATGCACTCTTTCATGTTGTCTCTGTCCTAGTATGCTGATTTATTACCTGCAGAGCATCGCGAGATCGCTAAAGCTCAGTAATCATCAGCTCAAGATGCAGATCCAAAACGCAAGTATTACATTGTTGTTATTTTTGTGTGCCATTGAGTTGCCTGTGACTCATAGCAACCCGATGTACAACAGCCCCAAAGCCTGCTCTATCCTGTGCCAATCTTATTGTCTCTGACACACCTACCCTCATTACCTCAGTCACTGAATCAATCCATCTCATTGAGGGTCTTCCTCTCTTGCGCTGTCTCTCCACCCTCCCACGCATGATGTCCCTTTCCAAGGACTGGTCCCTCCTTGCAACATGTCCAAAGTATGTCAGATGAAGCCTCAGAATCCATGTCTTCAAGGAGCAGCCTGGTTTAATCCTCTCTACGATGAATCTGTTTGTTTTCTTGGCAGTCCATGGTACATTCAATACTCTTCTCCAGCACCACAGCTCAAAGGCATCAGTTCTCCTTCTATCACCCCTTGTCAACTGTGTGTCAGCTGTGTCAGAAGGGAGATCTCCCCAGCGTGGTCATGCAAATGAGAACACAATTTCCAGTTACCAAGCCTCTTTGCCACTCCACGGGTATAAACCCACACACTCCAGGCCTCCCAATGTCCTTCCTAATACACAGGGACAGTCCAGAGGAACAAGCCTGCTAATGTCTTTCTCCCTGGCCTGTTCTCCAAGGCATAGCTGGTGCTCTGAGCATCTCAGCCCTCCTCCATGGCCACAACAAGCTACAGTGTGTCATGCTTTCCCTCTCTCACCCTGGACCTCTGAAGCCAGTGGCACTATTTATGCCCCAAGACTCACCTCTTTTCTTGCCTCTGAATTCCTTCTCACCCATCTGGGACCCAAACCTCACCAATCAAAGCAGTCGATGGAGACATATACTCCTTAACCTTCTACCATTTCTCCTCCTAGCATATCCCTGCTGGTTAAGCATTTACTTGTCAATGGGAAGTTCAGTATCCACCCAGTGACTGCACAGGAGAAAGATCTAGAAACTGCTCCTGTAGTTATTGCAGCCTAGGAAACTCTATGGGGCATTTGTGTTGTGTCTTAGAGTCCTCATATGTCAGAAATAGATTCAGGGGCACCTAGCAGCCACAAGGCAAACAGTAGAAGCTCTTTTCAGGGCTCTGACCAGCATGAGGGGTGGGGATGAGGCTCCAAGTTATCAAATTTAAGGAGGCACTCACTCTCATGGCCATTTAGGTCCTGCCCTCTAAAAACCCAGATAGTGGTGACACCTTAATTTTTTTTTAAATTTTGTACCATGAATGTCTCAAGTGCCTAATCTTGGTTCCAGCTTTCCATACATAAAGTCTCCAAGCTTTTCTCAGTTTAATAAAATTAATCTTCATGCACAATTTGCAAAACACACCCACTTATTTATAAACAATCAAATTATGAATTATTTTGAGTTTGCAAAAGATTTTTTTGTGGAAATGTGTGTTTCTGGTGTTACAGAACCATATTTTTTATGTGGGGCTCAAGTACACCATTCTTGGCAGTATTAAAACCCAAAGATACTCCAGAAGAAAGGTCTGGCAAGAGACTTCCAAGAAAATAGCTGCTGAAACCCCAAAAAACTCACAAATCCACTCTGATACACATGGGTCCCCGTGAGCTGGAATCAAATGAAGGGCAACTGATTATATTTTCATTTTTAAAATGTTCCACCAAATTGTTGTCCTTAAAAATTAAACCAGCTGGACATAAAACTTTAGCCTTCAGATATCTGCATTTATTCACTCAAACAATGTGACTGAATCTAGAGAACAGCGTCCCAAGGGGCTGTCATAGTTTAGTCACGACTTAAGAAACGAGAAATGGCACATCCGTCTTTTTTCTCTTTCAAGAGCCATACATGTTATTGCTTCCTGCTAACTCCAAAACAAACAAGTGATTCTCTTTTACGTTTTAGGCAAGATCTGAAGATAAGAAAAAGGTTGCCCAAATGGTAGAAGGTAAGTGTCCAACAGCACACAGAGAGCTGATAACTCAGTTGGTAGATAGTTATAAAATATAGCCATTGAAAGTGTGTTATCAAGTTCTTGGGAGCACAGGCAGTTTTAATTCTGCCAGAAGTGAATGAAAATGGGACCACAGAGCCTCCTGAATGGAATTGCTCTAACACCAAGCTTATTGGAAGAGATTTCTTTTCCTCTGGGGCACAATTACTTGAGTAAGAATTATGAGGCCTAAGGGTTAATCTTTTCCCACATAGTTTTTCAGAGAGAAGAAGCCAATAAATGAAAATTACTATAGGAGGAGACTTGGCTCTTGCTATAAAACCAAGGCTAAGTATCAAGTATTATCTGCCAATTGAGTATGATTAAGGCCAGATCACTATCCAAAACCAAGATCTATATAGACTTTCTCAGGATAATGTTCATTTCCTCAGTCCAGAGTCTCTGCACTTTTTTCTTTAAAGAATGATGCAAGTACTATTTCCAAAATACCATAATTGCCATTTACGTTTTATTATACCCATTATACAGATAAAGCAGTAGAGTCCCCAAGCTGCTGAATACCACACTGTGCCACATGGAGTTATCAGAGGCTGTGTGATAAAAGCCTTAAGGTTCTTTTGATTCCTCTAAATAGTCCCTTCTGAGAAGCTCTGCTGATGTAGTCCTCAGGAAGTTCAGCCACTAACTCAGAAGTCACCACACTCTGTGGGTTCAAATCTACCAGAAGTTCCAGGAGAGAAAGATGAGAAATCTCTTCTTGTATAGTGTGTGTGTGTGTGTGTGTGTGTGTGTGTGTGTGTGTGTGGTCAAATTGGATCCGACTGGTACAGGAGGAGATTGCCCTTCTTTCTCCAGCAGAGCATCTGGTGGATTTGAACCACATACATCGGGGATTGCAGTGCAGCTTCTTGCCACTAGGCCACCAGAGCTCCCCATCCTCTTGTATAATTTATAGCCCCAGACACTCATTAGAGGGTCAACTATGAGTTAGTTCTAACTCAACTGCAATGAATGGAGCTGAGTGAAATAGTGCCTCCAGGTCAACCTCTTGTGCACTGTCTTCAAGGCTGCTGGTTTGGATCCTTGCTATGATTCTGCGAAAGAAAAACTCTGACAATGTTTCCACAAAGACTAAAAGCAAGAAAATCCTATGAAGATCTCTTGTATTCTGCAGTTTGTGGGTTCCCTGTGACTTAGAACTTATGCAGAGGCAATGTGTTTGGGGTACTTTTAGGTTTTAGAGGCCCTTTCGGCTCCAACTTTGTGTTATGAAATTATTTTCATTATGAGCTATTTGTTGCCCAAAGATTAGGTGTATTTGGTAGTGCAAACACTTCTGTGTTGGGTTTGTAGACCCAACTCTTGGAAGTCATGAAGCTGTTCCAGCTAAACCAACCTCAGTGTGTCCTGGTGATTTTCTCATGGGTCCTCCCTCCATTTGCAGCCCGAATCCAGACCCAGGAGGGAAGCACCAAGAGGCTTCCCAAGGACAGCGACATCGACATTGTCAGTCACCCATCCTCCGCTCGCTCAATCACGCCTCAGAATAACGGCAATGTTGTCAATTTGGACTCTCCAAGCAGCAAAGGTGACAGGATAGAGACCATCACCCAGCCCATGCCCCAGAGTCCTGGAGCGGGCCACAGGAGTCTCGGCTCACCTCTCCCGGGCGTCTCCACATCCAGACAGGAGCAAAACCCCCACAGGTAAGGTTCACCTGGAACACAATTAGAAATCTAACTGCCTTGAACTTGATCGCAGCGATAACCAAAAGCTGGGGAGTGTGGGCTAAAGTGCCTTTGGGGGTTTGAAGGACTGCACAGGATAGAGCAAGAGTCTGCTCTCGTTTTTATAGGGTTGCAGTGAGTTATAGTCAACTCATAGGCACATAAAAAAATCCAATGTTTTCCAGAGGTCACAATCCATGAATTCCAGTTCTTCCTGAAGGCCCTGAGATTGCTACTGTGCCTCACTGAACTGAGATAAACTGAGAATAGGTCAGGGGGATGAACAAGAGCCCTTATGGTGAAAAGTTTAAGCATTCAACTGTTCACTGAAGATGGGTGGTTAGAATCTATCCAGTGATGTCATGGGAGGAAGACTCGTTCCTTCAATCTTGTAAGGACCACAGCCTAGAAAACTGTGCCACAGCCCTCCATTGTCGCATAGGGTCAGGGATGTTTTAAGTCAAAATTAATTCAGTAGCACCCAACAACAACAACAAATAACTTACTACCACCAAGCTATAGCGACGCTCCACCAGGTCTCCAAGGCAGTAAATCTTTACGGAAGGAGAATGCCCATCTTTCTCCCATGGAGCAACTAGTGCCAACCTCATGATTGGCAGTGTTATGTACCGTGCAACGAAGGCTCCTTAATAACAACAAGGTGGACAAAGGGTGTAAATTAGAACAAAATCTTCCTTCTTTATTGCTACCATATAACCTATAAAATAGTCTCTAAAGAGCTGCGCTGCTAACCTAAAGGCCATGCTTATATTGGTGGTTGGAATTCACCAGAATTTCCATGGGAGAAAGAGGAACAATCTCCTCTCACGTGATTTACAGCCTTGGAAAACTTGGTATAAGCTTAGCCATGAGTCAGTTTCAACTCAAAAGCAATGAGAGGAAATAAAATGCCTCTTATTTTTTTTTCATATTTTACTTTTTAGCTTCATATCTTGGCAAGATCCTGGCTGGCAGTATTTAGAAAGCTCATCATAGTTTGGGCAATGGATGTCAACTGTTTCAATCTTGTCATGTGTGACAAAAATTAGAAAATGGTATTCTCTAAACAGAGGCAGAGGAGAAATGTGCAGTAAATAGAGTCACATTGGCTGAAACTTCTATGGAGAATTAATAATTAATCTGACTGTAGCCCAATGAAAGGGACATAGAAAACATAGGAAGATGCTTGCCTCTTGGTTCTAGGGTACTTTCAAAATGATAAATATTATGCTGAGTGAAATATCTCAGTCACAAAAGGACAAGCACTGCATGGTGCCACTGCTGTAGAATGGGACTGACATCAGGGTTAGGGTAAGAATGAGAAAAACTGGTTGAATTATGTATACTGCATTGAAATCGATTAGGGAGAGCACAGTTTAAAAGCAATATATTTTAGGGCATTATGATTATCATAAGAGTCCGAAATGAGGGTTGCAGAGTGGAGTATACTCGGGGTGGTGGTGGAGGGTTTGGGGGGGGACTGTATACCAAGGAAGGAATTTTTCTTTTCCTTTTCAAAGAGAAGAGTGAACTGGGGGTGGAGGTGGGGAAAAGTGCAACAATGGATAAATGGAAATCCAAAATCTCTGTAAATGTTCATTGAAATTCATAAAAAAATGATGAATAAGTTAGTAAAGAACTGGTTAACTTACTTTGTGAGGATAGTAGGAGTTGTTCGTGGAAGATGAGACTTAAGAGTAGCATTCACATCTCTGTGGCACCTTCTCAGGAAAAGAGATGCCAACACTCTTACACACGCCCTGAGGGTCAAGCAGGACCACTGCAGAGAAGTGAATCTTTCTGGGTAGGAAATTTCCAACAGCACCACCCAGCGGAAGTGCAGAAAAGTGTCTTGTGAGTGTGGATAGCTGCTTAGCAGGGATGAGAAAAAGGAGTGTTTCCTACCTGGGCAGCACAAATATTAGACCCACTGTGTGATTCCAGACAAAAAGAGTGCTCCGTGATGAAGCATATTAGCAAATCATCACTTACCCCACACTCTTCATGGAGGGTTACCTGCAAGAGCACATTGTTGTGTAATACTCCTCACTCAACCATTGCTGTTGAGTTGGAATTGATTCATAGCTGACCCTCCACTGGGTTGCTGAGATTATAAATCACACGGCATATTTCCCATCTTTCTCCCATGTAGCCACTAGTGAATTCAAACTGCCAGGGAGGCTTAGTCTTCAGATTAGCAGTACAGTACAACTTCACGTGGGCTAAGTCATTCTAAGGGTTTCAGTAGTAAAGAAATCTGTTTAACCCAGCTCCTCAAATGTACACAGTCTTTAAAAAGTCTGAACAATTCTCTGTTAGCATCTTCAGAAGCCCTGGTGGCATAGTGTATGTGACATGTTAGGCTCTAATGGAAAATCTCATCATTCGAACTCACCATCCACTCCAAGGAAGAAAGATGGACAGTCTCTTCCCACAAGGCCTTGTAACCCAGGGGAGGGTTGACATGAATCAGAATTGACTCAGCAGCAGTGGGTGAGTTTAGCATCTTAGTGATGCTGTAAGAGAAATATCACAAGTGGGTGACTTTAACAAACAGAAACTGGCTCTTATCACAGTTGAGAAGGCCAGAAGTTTGGATTTAGGGCACCAGCTCCAGGGAGAAGCTGTTCTACCTGTTGGTTCTGGGAGTATTTTAGAGTGCTCTCTTATCTCTTCACAGCTTGCTCCTTGGGTGTCTGCAGCTCTTCACAGGGTGGAGCGTTCATCTCTCCCCATCTGTCTTGTTCTCTTCAGTTCCTAACCTGCTCTTTTCACATCTCGTGTGATTAGTTGAAGACAGTCTAAAAGTGATATGGTCTTACATAACAAGGAAAACTGTTTCCAAGCAGAATTACATCCCTAGGTACAGAGGTTAGGATCTCCACATGTATTAGGACCCTGGTTGATACAAATGCTGATGGAACAGCTATTCCAGCTCACAGGGTTAGAACTTGGCATCTTACTCACTTCTGTCTTAACAGGTATCCTTGTGGTCCGAGCGCAAGCACAGGGGACATTCACGGAAACAGATCCTTTACACCGATGACGTTTAAGGAGCACCTGGAAAACATTCACTCTGAACCTCTTTTCCGAAAATATTTTCAGCAAAGCAACCCCCATCTCCACAGACCAGGGACCTCAGTTTTCATGGCTCGTGGCCCTCACCCTCACACCTCCAAGTACTACGTCACGAATGAGCGAGATTTTCATAAAAAATCCCATCCAGCCTTCTGGCCAGAAAGACCCCCCAGGAGAGATGCCTCAGGTGACGTGGTGGCGATGTACTCCAGGAACGTGCGACGATATGTGCCCTGGCCCCCTTGCCAGGCTCACTCTCCACAGCTGAGTGAGGAAGAGGAGGAGATGCTGAGGAGAGACTGGAGCAAGAAGTCTCTGCACCCACTTTCCCTTACAGACCTCCGCTGGGCACCTCATTTCTACGTGGGTGAAATGTCAGGCAGTCAGAGCCTGGCTCCCGAAGGTCAAAGCAGGAGGCATTGCAAGTCTTGGAATGATGGTTTTGAGGGTCCCCTGGACAGGCCAATGTATGTGCACAAAAAGCCCCGGCCCCGGCATGCCCAGCACCCACGACACCCCTTGAAAGCCAGAGCCAAGCCCAGGTTTGAACCGTCCCTCACAGAATCGGATTCCATGTCAGCGGCCTCCAGCAGTGACCAGCAGAACAGCAGTACTGACCAGTACCTGCAGGTCATCCACCGCCAGGCCAGGATGCCCAGGTCTGCGGGCCACCTGGGCAGGAGGAAGGCCAAATCCAGACAGAACTTGAGTGACCTGGTTTGTTCCAACGTGTAAGGAGGACTTCAGTGTGTAGAGTCCCTTTCACACTGACCCCTGTGGAGTGCTGGTGTTGGCCTGAAACCTATTGGTCCCTTCTCTTCTTCGAAAGAGGGATGAGCATCCTTGGCTGGGTTGACGGGCTGTTTAGGGAATATTCTGTCATGTCTGTGGCGTCCTGACGTTCCCATAGCTACAACTGCCTGTTCCCCAGCAATCCGACACAAGTGCATGTCCAGTATATGGCAGCACCTCTAACACATTTGCACATAGTCATTTTAAGAAGACATCAGTCCTCTGCCTCCATCTGGGGTGCCCATATATCACAGACAACTCAGGCCTCCCAGCCAGAACCCAGAGGCTAACCTGACGAGTCTGCACTTGTCCTCAGGCAATGTGTATATGTAATGTGTGCTCTTGATCAACTTAGAAAATCCACTTATTGTGCATTGTTGTTAGGTGCTATCAAGCCAAATATGACCTCATAGCGACCTTATGGACAACAGATCTGAACCCGGCTCTGTCCTACTCTAGCCTCACGTCTCAGTCACGTTCAAGTTCATTGTGGTTGTCACTGTATCCATCCATCTTGTTGAGAGTCTTCTTTATGTCTGACCCTCCACCTTCCCCTTTCAAGACTTCACTGGGCTTTATTCATATAAATAGTTCATTTAATGGGTGCATCTAGAGGACATGAGGCTGAAATAATGTAAGTGTATCTCAATGGATAAATAGTTGTAGGGCTGTTGTTGTTGCATATGGTTGCGTTGGAACCAACTCATAGCTGATCCTCCAGTGGGTTTTCAGAGGCTGTAAAATTACACCACAGGAGATTGTCCATCTTTCTCCTGCAGAGCATATGGTGGCTTCAAACCACTTGCCTTTGGGTTGGCAGCACGATCCTTTACCACTAGGCCACCTACCTTTATAAGAAAGGTTTAGGGAGCTCTGGTGGCCTCATGGGTAAAGAGTCGTGGGGCTAACCCACATGCTAGTGGTTTGAATCTATCAGTTACTCTGAGAGAGAAAGGCCGGCAATCTCCTCCCATGCAATTTACAGCCTCTGAAAACCCACTGGCAGGCCACCTATGGCTAATGTACCATTGAGTGGGTTCTGACTCAAGGTATATAACAATAAAGGAATGTCTGTACACAAATAGACTCATTCTAATATAGTTACCAGAGAGGGGGAGGGGAGTAGAATATTAATTAGTAGGTAATAAACACTAAATAAGATGGATGAAATGAAAATCAACATGGAATTAATGGATGATCAGACATTGTAGGTATTATCATTAACATTATGGAATGAATGTACAAGAATGATTGAAAATCGGAAAAACTTTGTAAACTTTCACTCAAATCATAATAAAAAAGTAATTCACTTACTAATGAAATGTGACTAAAATGCATTGAAAGCTTACTTAATGTACTGGCTTCAGAGATCTAGCTATATTAATTATTCAGGATGCTTAGCTCAGAAGTAAAAAGCCCCTGAGGGAATTTATTGGCTCATGTAACTGGAGTGGATGGGAATCAAGTTGTCCTCAGTTCCCCTGAAGCCAGGGGACAAAATATCTTCAAGACTGTTTTTACAGATATGAACCCTGTGTGTGTTGACCTCATTGTATCCTCCTGCCACCCAGTGTCTTCCACATAGTAGGTGAAAGAGTAATCTCGAGTCACACAGAATGTCAGGTTTGCATCATCCAGTCAGTGACCTCAGAGAAAAGATCAATTGTTACACTTGTTGTTAGATGCTATTGAGTCAAATACAACTCTTAACAACCCTATAAACAACAGATCTGAACCCCATCCTATCCTGTGCTATCTTCACACCTCCTGACACATATGAGCCCATTGTGGCAGCTGCTGTGTCAATCCAGGTGGTTGAGAGTCTTCTCTCCTTTTCCATCTCTCTGCCTTTCCAAGCATCATGTCCTTCTCCAAGGAATAGCCCCTCCTAGCAACATGCTTGAAGTATGTGAAGCAAAGCCTCATTACCTTGCCTCCAAAGAGCACTTCAGCTGCACCCTCTCCAAGACATATTTATTTCTTCTTTTGGCCATCCGTGGGATGTTCAGTGCTCTTCTCAAATACAATTTAAAAGTATGAGTTCTTCTTTTGTTATCCCTATTCATTGTCCAGCTCTCAGACGCATAGCAAGTGATCAGAAAACTAAGGCCTGGATCAGATGCACCTTAGTCCTCAAACTGACATCATTACTCCTCAGTAATTTGGAAGGTCTCTAACTGCAGACTGTTCCACTGCAATAATCTCCTAATTTCCTGACTGCTGGTACCAAGGGTGTTAATCGCAGCTCCAAGTAAGATAAAGTTGTTGACAGTTTCAATATCTTCTCCATCCACCATCATGCTGCCTATTGGTCCAGTGGTAAGAATCTTTGTTTTCTTGACATTGAGATGCAATCCAAATTGAATGCTGCATTCCTTGGTCCTCTGCAACAAGTGCTTCAAGTCCTCCTTACTTTCAGCAGGCAAGGATGTGTCATGTGCATAACACAGGTTGTTGATGAATCTCCATCCAATCCTGATGCCACATGCCTCTTAATAGAGTCCAGCTTCTCAGATAATTTGCTCAGAATACAGATTGAATAGATAAGGAGCTAGAATACAATCCTGAGACACTTACCTTCCCAATTCCAAACTATGCAGTGCTCCCCTGCTCAGTTCGCACAGCAGCCTCCTGGTCCAGGTATAAGTTTTACATGAGCACAATTAAGAGCTCTGGGATTCCCATCCTTCTCAGTGTCAGCCACAACTTGTGATAATTCACACAAACACTTTTGCATGGTCAATAAAGCACAAATAGTCATTCTCTACTTTCAACTAGGTTCCATCTGACATCAGCAATGATGTCCCTAGTGCCATAGCCTCTTCTAAATCCTGCTTGAACTTCTGACAGTTCCATACCTATGTATTGTTCTAGCCATTTTTTAATGACCTTCAGCAGTATTTTGCTTGCATGTGATATTAATGATATTGTTCAATAGTTTCCATATTCAGTTGGATCACCTTTCTTGGGAATGGCAATAAACATAGACCTCTTCCAATCTGTTGGCCAGATAGCTGTCCTCCAAATTTCTTGGTTATAGAAGAGACTAGTGAGTGCATCTAAAGCTTCATCTGTTTATTGAAATAAGTCAATTGGTATCCCATCAATTCCTGGGGCCTTTTTTCCTCCCAATATCTTCAATGGAGCTTCCTCTTCCTCCTTCATTACCATTAGCTTCTGATCATATGATACTTCCTGAAATTTTTCAGTGTCAATCATTTCTTTTGGGTACAGTGATTCTGTGTATTACCTTCATTGTCTTTTGATACTTCTTGAGTCATTCAATATATTGCCCTTAGCGTTTTTTCAGTATTGCAACTTGAGGTTTAAATTGATTTTTCAGTTCTCTCAGCTTGAGAGCTGCATAATGAGTTCTTCCCTTTTTGAAACCCCAGAGAAGGTCTGGCTTGAATCACACTCTTATCTTTTACTCTAATCATCAAAGGTTGGGGCACAGCCATTAATCCTTTGTGTTGTAGGATTGTGGATATAACCAATGAGACAGTGTTTTGATCAAGAGTGTATCTCTTGAGAACCATATGGGAAATATACCAAGAAAGAACATTTACCCCAAGAAAGGCAGATGAAAATAATAGCTGTTCACCACTGTGCTTTGCCTACATCATTTCGTCAAATCTTCTCAAAAATTACTTTAAATAGTTGGTCATTGTCCCCTTTGAAGTACAAAGATGCTAGATAACATTTCTAGGATCGTGCATTTTCTGAATGACTAGAATATGGTTAAAAACACACAGCTCCCTAAATCTTAAACCAAATAAACTCTCTGCATCAAACCCATAAACATGAACCCACTGTCACTGAGTTGATTCTGAATCATGGCAATAACCCTCATCAACAACAACCAAAACAACCTTGTTTTCTACCACTGAATAACAACGTGATAGGTTAGAAAAATATGTATCTACACTCTCCTGGTTTTCACGGGTTAGGATTCTGAGGCCCTCAAATTCCTGCCACATTTTCATGGATTAAATTATGTGCCTCACCCAAAAATGCACTTATGTAATGATATATGTGTTGTTGTATGCAGTTAAGTTGAAAATGGCTCATAGCTGATCCTCCAATGTGGTTTCAAGAGGCAGCAAATTGCACAGGAGAAGATTGCCTATCCTTCTTCCATGGAGCAGGTTTGAACTGCATGCCTTTTAGCTTACAGTATAGTTTCTTACCACTAGGCCACCAGAAATTCCTAATGGCATATGAAGTTATATAACGATGCCCTATGATTTGTAAAACCAAACCATTGTAAGAGGATTGGTAGTAGGAGGCAATACCTTTAATCTCATAACATCCCTGATGCAACGTAAGAGGTATTTCACTGTTGGAATGGTCTGTAACACCTTTCTATCTCACAACAGAGAGATACAAAGGAGAGAAAAGTAGGCAGGCAGGGTGCTATATAATGGGTTTATTGTTGAAAATAGATTTCCTAGCCTACATAGCTGGGTGAGAGCAGTCAAATAAGGTGTGTAGTCTATCCAAGGAGAGATTTGCTGGTTTTGCTATCCTGCCAGCTTTAGATTGAGCAAGTTCAGTGGCAGAATTTGAGACTCTCGTCCAACAAGGAAGAAGTAGCAGATAATGCAGCTATCAGCACGGACACACACACACACACACACACACACACACTCTCACACACACACTCACTCTCTGTTAGGGTTATCTCCAAAATAAGGAAGAGCAATGATGTCAGTTTGAAGACTAAGGTGCATCTGTTTCAGGCCACGGTCTTTTTAAATCACTTGATAAGCATCTGAGAGCAGCCAATGAATACAGATAATAAAAGAAGAATCAACGTCTTTGAGTTGTAGTGTTGGAGAAAAATACTGAATATCCCATTGACTGACAAAAGAATGAGCAGGTATGTTTTGGAAAGGGTGCCACCTTGGATGCAAGGATGGCAAAGCTTCATCTCTCATACT